CTGAAATGCACTGCTGAGGGGAGCAGCGGGCACGGCAGGAGAGGTCTGCTTCGCCATGTGGGCAGCTCCCTGGCCGAGGATCCAACTCTTGTTGCAGTGGCAGGCAGTAGCTTAATTGTGCTGAGACTGAAACCCAGGCGCCACCAGGGAGGCGCGTGGATTACTCTTTAAATATTACAAATCAATGCAAGAACAAGTTAAGGAAAAAACAACAACGTCAAGAATGCCCTTTGAAGCAACAGAGGGGGCGGGATGTGGCAGATTACCACTCACAATGCTAAGAATGGGGGTTCTGAAGAACTGTTCTCAAAGAAAAAAAAAAAAAAGGAGAAATTCAGTAATATCACTTAATAGTATGTTTTAGAAAAACATACCTCAAAACTGTTCATTCTGCGTTTAAACCGTAAGAATCATGTGCAATGTCTCATTTAAAAGTGGAACATTACGTACTTCCATTCAAACCGAAAACACGCCTTATGACTACTTCCCTGTCATCCTTTTTCTCCTCCCATTTCGAGCACAATCTCACACTTCGCCGTTTCCCTGGAATCACCACCTCACGCGCGCTAAGTGGAGACGAAGTTCTGTCATTCCTATAATTACCACACCCTGTCAGACGCTTCAGGACCATGTTGTTATGACATCTGTAAACATCAGCCAACCGTTCCACCCCCCCCCGCCCCCCAACCCCCCGCCCCCCACCCCACCCCACCCGCCACCGGCTCCAGCACTAACTTGTGAATTCCCGAGAAGGTTCTCCCTCCCTCGGCTGGGATTTTTACACGCCACCCCAGCTCTTTCCTGCCTCAGTCTCCGCACTCCGCGCGGCCCGCCCCCGCCCCCGCCCCCGCCCGCCCGCGCGCCGCCCGCCCGCGGCGCCGCTCCCAGCTCGCCTCCCCTGCGCCCCGCGGCCTCGGCGTCCCGCAGTCCCCCGCGCGCTCCCAGCCCCGCCGCCGCCCCGCCCCGCCCCTACCGGCGTCCCCGAGGCAATCGCACCAGCGCTCCCCACCCCCACCCTCCGCTCCGCCGGCCGCGCGGCCGTTAGGACAGCCCCGCGTGACGCACCCACACGCCGCGAGCGCCAGGGCCCGGGCGCCGCAGCGCGAACGCAGCTGGCGCCCGCCCTCGCCCCGGGGCCTCCCCCGGTCCCGCCGAGGACTGCCGGATCTACCGGCGGGCGGGGGAAGGGCCGGGGCCGCGCGGCCCCAGCACTCACCAAGCTCGAGGCAACCGAACCCGGTGCCACTGACGAGAGAATCGCTTGCTCACTTGCCCGCCGACCGTAGCCCTCCCGCGCACGATCTGGAAGAGCCGGCCCGCGCCTTGACGCCGCTCCCAGGCCTCGCTCTCCGCCGCCGCGCACCCAGCAAGCAAGACCCAGCTCAGCCGGCGTTCGTAGCGCGCCTGCGCGCGGGACCGGCCCACACGCCTGCGCACGCTCCTCCGTCGCTAGCTGCAGAGGCTGCCGGGAAGTGTAGTCCTCCAGCTGTCTTTCGCGGAAGGCGGAGAGGATGACGCCCGCGCAGTCACAAGTGGAGGGCTTGGGCCTCCCTGGTGGCGCAAAGGGTTAAGACGCAGCCTATGAGGTTGTCCGCAGCTTCTGCAGCACGAGTTCGATCCCCCGGCCAGCTAGGGAGGTACCCACATGGCTCAGCAGACCTCTCCTGTCTCGCCTGCTGCTCCCCTCAGCAGTGTATTTCAGTCAGTCTGCCTGTTCTGTTCCCCACTGTCTCTGGTGAATCCTCTCACCCCCCACACCTCTGGCCTGTACCCTAGCTCTTGTATGCATAAATAAATAAATATTAAAAAAAAAAAAGTGGAGTGGTGGGGAAGGACTCGCTTACCATTGCAGTCAATGGTAAAGGTTGGAGAATCGTGGTGGAGGGACAATGAAACGGCACTACTGACGTTTAATTGCCAAGTTATGTCTACAAACCTGTTTTCGAAACTCTTCCAGGACCATCAATCTTTGTATCTAGCCTCTATTGGTTGGTACACATTATCTACCATCCTTTTACCTGATAGTGTATGAGGAGTATCTAAAATCATTCAGAAATTAAATGAAACAAATATTTTACTCTCAATAAATGCTCTCAAACGAAGGCAAATGTTACTATTAAATTTGATGAAGTTATTTTGGGGGAATTTGTTTCGTGCAGTGGTTTCTAAAGAAAAAAACAAGCAGAGATCACAAAATAAAGTCTCGTATGTGGCTTAGTTTATCAAATCCATGTGAAATGCTCACCAAGGTGCAAAGTGAAGAGATGGGCAGATAGATTTATAAATGTGGGAGCAGAGCACACTACCTGAACTCTAGGCTGTGCAATCCATGTTCATTTGTCCTGGACTTCTCTCTCCCCCTCTCTAGCCTCTTCCCTTTGCCCCCTCTGCCCCGGCCCCCATTCAATAGTCCCCACCTATAGCCTGTTTCCTACATATCAGAGTTGAGTTTGAGCAGAGGGGGTTTGGGGGAAGAGAGGGTGTTCTAAGGGAGGACAGACACTTAGGGCCAAGTATACCTGACCATAGCTACACTGAGAACAGATCATTTTATTCCACACAAGAACTAAGATTATTTGGAGCTCTACTTCAGTCCTTGTGAAAAATAGTTTATTTCCAGCTCACCCTAACTCCTAGCAAGGTTATCCCTCGAGGGTCCCAAACAAAAGTCTGTTGTATTTACTTGGGCCTCTCTTCCTGGACCCCGCCTCTTCAGCCCATGAGACAGCCAAAAGTCCTGCTCAGTTTTTCAGCCCTTGCCCTTGCTTTCAGAATTAGCAATCATCTAAGGTGGAAAAGTGATGGCAAATATCAGGCTCACCTCTTCATGGCCTCCTTTTTTCTTGAACCCACAAATTTCATTGCCAAGGTAGATCTTTAATGCCTTAATGTTTTGTTGTTGTTGTTTAATGTTTCATCCTGCTGTTCTTAGTGGTGGTAGGATTTGCTCAGGAAAACAATAGGCCATCCTAAGGCAGAATTCCTGTAAATATGTTACTTTTGCAAAAATGTTACCAAGCCATACATGGTGTTTTATTAGCTGATGTCTTCCTGCCTGTATGTTTATTTTTTGAGAAATTTAAAAATTGTAAAATAATACTTTTGCTATTAAAGTGTTGCTATGAACATTCGTGTACATATCTTCATGTGTATAGGAAAACGGCAAAATCCTCAGACATTTCACCTTTAACTTTACTAGATGTAGTAGGCAGAACTCTTAAGCTCGTCCCCGTGATCTTTGTCCCCTAATACTGTCCTATATAATCCCTATCCATCAAGTGGGACATTGACTGACTTTTAAACTATGGAATATAGCAAAGATGATGGAAAGTCCCATGATTACATTTCATTATAGATGTGTCTATCTTTGCTGGAAATTTTAGAGTGCACCAAAAAATATTGACATCATAAAAACTGCAATGTGAAAAGTTACATTACAAATATTGCAAAATATTTTATATAATAATATATGTAAACTTGAACATAGATCTAGAATTTATGTATTTAAACATACTTTGTTTGATAAACTCATATATTTGAGATAAATGTATTTATGATACATTTTTATTCAAAAATACATATATATATGAGTTGTACATATGTACTCTCAAAGTTCCATATTAGCACAGGTGTGTTTTGGAGCTTTCTGTTCTATTCACTTCGTCTGTCTAGTCCTGTAGTATTAACGTATTTTATTTACTCTAGTTATATCATCATATGTTGTGGGCCATGGCACCTCCACTTTGTTTTTCCTCTTAAAAATTGTATTGACACTTCTTAGATCCTTATAATTAATATAAATTTTATGATTATTTCATTCATTTTTATGAAGAAAAACATGATTGTGATTAATATTGCATTGAGATGAGACATATCTATTCTTTTTTTTTTTTAAAGATTTATTTATTTTATTTATACAAGCACTGGGTACAGTCAGAAGTGTGGGAGGGTGAGAGAATTCACCAGAGCCAGAGCAGGGAGCAGAACAGGCAGAAGGACCGAGGTACACTGCTGAGGGGAGCAGTGGGCAGCAGGAGGGGTCTGCGCACCATGTGGGACCCTCGTCTGGTGGCCAGGGATTGAACCAGTGGCCAGGGATCGAGCCAGTGCTGCAGAGGCTGCAGGCAGCTTCGCAACCCAGCGCTCAACCGCTGCGTCACCAGGGAGGCCCCTCTATTGAGTCTTTCAATAAGGATCTATCTTTCCATTTATTTAGGAAATTCCTTTCAAAAATATTTTGTCTTTTTTTTTTTTTTCATTAAGTCATGTATACATCTTTTGTGTACTGTTGAATTTGTGGACTCCTCACCTTGTGGAGATTGGCACAATTGGAGGAAGGCCAAAGAAGGAAAAACTCTCAATCTAGAGGTCTAAGGTAGGGGCCCTTTACCCTTATGGTGGCACCATATAAGACTATAGTTTGCTTCTTACATGAGGAAGAATGCTAGTTAAGTTAGAAGGAGCGGGAGGAAGCATGCTGTGCAAGAGGTTGAAGATGCAAGGTTCAGGAAAGTTTGGAAGTATAGAGGAATATGGAGTTAATATGGGCAAGAGATGCATGATGAATTAGCCGGGTTGTACATTTCAGAACTCTGAAATAAAATTTGAGCCCAGAGCATTGTCACAGGGCATTCAGCCTTTATAAGAGCTATTCTGTCTGCATGAAATACTCTTGATTCTGCTACCTACTTGCTGCATCCTTTATTCACCTAGCTAACAAATTCTTCAGATTCAGTTTGAGTTCAACTTTCTCTATTAGTTCTTCCTCCTACCCCCTGATTAATATATCTATCTCCTTCTTAAATTTTTCCATATAATCCATAGTTCCTCGTTTATTATATCCAATCATATTATTAAGTTGTCCATGGTGCTTGCATGGTGTTGCTTGATATGGCTGAATCTAAATAGTTTATCAGCAGAATGTGAGTCTTTTGATGTCCTTTAAATGATTTCATTTTACACACAATTTCATTTTGCACACAATTTTTCAGAGCCAGTTATGTAGATAAAGGTGATTTATTTTGGTATCTTACATACAAGATTCTCTGGAAAATCTAAAATCATTCTGCTATCCCAATATGTTACATTATCATCATTTTAGAAAATTAAAGGCTTGAATTACAAATACAAAAATCTCTTATTACATGTGAAATATTTCTGATCCCCTATAGTAAAGGAAATGGAAGAACAATTTGAAGAAAAAATGGCTATGAGAGTGTTTTAGTTGGTATCTACCCACCCCAGCCCCAAGAAATAGACAAAAATAAAGACATTAAGATGCTAGTATGCAGTTGGTTTCTTCAATAACTCAATAAGTCTGTATGACATAAACCATTCTTTGAGTCATTGGTGGTCTTAATTTGGTTAGCTCCTCAAAAGCATGGTGATGCCAGCTGTTAAAATGATGTCAAGGTTAATCAACAGAGCTGCCACTTAAGCCCCTCCAGGATTGCTGGGGAGAGAGCATTGTGTCCTGTAGTACAACATGATCCTGGGAGCAAGTCCACAAATACAGGGGCATAGCCTGCATGCCACTAAAAATAACAATGGTTTCAGGATTGGAGACATTATCAACCACACTGTCATGACTCTCGATGGCTCCAGGATGCAATGGTGGGGCAACAATATTTGACTGATGACCCTGGCAGAAGGAGCCTATGAGTACTTCAGCCACAAACACATAGATATGCTTATCTGTGGCAGATGTTTCCTTTACCTGGTATGATAGATTTTTGAGATTCCTGCTAAAGTATATGCCAGCTCCAAATTTGTAATCTAATAAAAGAAAGACAGTTAAAAGATTAGCATGCTCTTGCAAATCATACTGTCATTTTGGGTACTAATATGTATTCTCTCTCTAGTCCCCTAAATTATTACCATCTCTTGGTATCAAGTCCTTGTTTCAGTAGCAAAGACACCCAAAGTTGTTTCCTAGAGACAAATCATAGCTGATAAAATCAGCACAATAATAGCTTAAATTTAAATACACCTTTAGAGTATATACCTTTAGAGTATATAGAGTATATAGAGGAGTATATGATTTACAAACTATTTTTACACTGATTAACTCCAATTAATCTGTGATTTAGGTCATACTTAACAGATGAACAATCTGAGGTTCATAGATATTATGATTCAAGTCAGCATTATCAACTAAGAAGCTAACAAAGAAACTTATAGAAGGAAGACTGCATTTTCTCTTAGAACTTTGCCCTACTTCTACAGGCTATAAGTAAGAATATCTCTAAAACCTCTGATAATAAAACTAGTGAAAATGACATACAAAAAGAGAAGGCAGAGTGTCTTTATGGATAACATTATAAGAAAAGAAAAGTCAAAATAAAGAGACTCTAAGCATATAATGTCTATGTGCATGTTGCATTGGTTAGGAAGAGACACCCTGAATTTAGAAGCCAGGACATTCTGGTTAAAAAAGGGTTTCCTCTATTGTGGGGTAGCGATAAGTCACTAGTTCTTACCATGGCCTGGCGAAAGACTCTAGAGAATGTCTAAATGCTTTTCATCTAGGTCCACGCTCACTAGGTAATTTTGGACCCATCGGACATCACGAATACTGTGATGCCAAGGAGGAAATACTGTTCCAACCACTGGAAATAAATATTCTTCATTCTGATATAAATGCCTATGATCTGTCTTATTTTCTCTGTAATATTAAGAATACTCAAGACTCTGAGAGCCGAACTCTGAACCTCAAGATAATCCCTGTTAAATGCCTTTCTATCCCCAACGTAGGGGAAAGAAAATTAAAACGTCTTTGAGGCCCTAAGTACCTCCCTTCCTTCCTCCCTCCCTTTCCTCCTTCCTGACAACCTTTTCTTCCTTCCTTACCTTTACTTGGGATTTAACCAAACATTGTTTCTCAAACAGCACTGAACAACAGAAATACAATGGGCTGACACTTACCACAGGACGCCGAGTACATCCTTTGAAAGCCGACTCTGGATACCGCTTTACAGAACTGGTGTGGGACTAGCTGAAACAACCTGTGGCTTAGAGGTTCCCTGCACATTCTCTCTTTCATTATCATCTTCTTTCTTTGGAAGGCATCCCTGAGAGCCACATTGTCTATCTTCTCCACCTATAATGCAAGAAAATGCAAAACTGAGAGACATAAATTGTACATTACATCAAAAATAAAGGCACTTGTGGGCATATTACTAATGCATTCATTTTGCTTTCCTATAAAGTTGCATAAGAGTCTTTCCTGACTTCAACCTTCTTCTACTTTGACTTCTTCTCTTCCAAATTACCTGTACCTTCTTTGCTAAATTAGTAAGAATATACTATGCAATCTTTATGTTCCAGGCACTGATAATGAAATGGCCAACAATGTAGACATAATCGTTTCCCTATAAAAGCTCATAGTTTGGGGCCTCCCTGGTAGCACAAGGGGTTAAGCACAGCACTTTGAAACAATCCGCAGCCTATACAGCACGAGTTCGATCCCTGGCCAGGGAGCTACCCACATGGCATCACCCACTGCTTCCCTCAGCAGTGCATTTCAGTTAGTCTGCCTGTTCTGTTCCCCACTCTGTCTCTGGTGAATCCTCTCACCACCTGCACCTCTGGTCTGTTCCCAATTCTTGTGTGCATAAATAAGTAAATCTTTTTTTAAAAAAAAAAGCTCATAATTTAATGAGAGATACAAATAGGCTATTATAATAAAGTGTGATAAATGATATTCCTTTATTTTTTTAAAGGATTTATTTATTTATTTATACAAGAATTGGGGTACTGGCCAGATGCATGGGAGGGTAAGAGGATTCACCAGAGACAGAGCAGGGAACAGAACAGGCAGACTGACGAAATACATGCTGAGGGGAGCAGCTGGCGCAACAGGAGAGGTCTGCCACACCATGTGGGACCCTCACCAGCCGGCCAGATAGAGCCGGCAGGGATCGAACCAGCGCTGCAGAGGCTGCGGACAGCTTCACAGTGCAGCGCTCAACCGCCTGCGCCACCAGGGGAGGCCCTGCTATTCCTTTATTTTGCTTCAAGCTAGACAGATAGGTCTTTCCTGAGACTTGATCTATGCTTCCACACATCCTGACATTTCTATTTCCTGATTGCAACTATACCCCTCACACCTGCACTTCCCTGTCCTCATTTCATTCTTATTCCTAGGATTCCATGTCAATGAGCAGCTAGCTGTCATCAGCAGGGGAATTTTTTTTGGCTACAGAACCAAATGAACTAATAGCAAGGAATAAAACGCTTTCCCTAATTAAGTATACCTTTATAACCTGAAAACCACAGTTTTCAAATTGTGTCTTTAGATTCTGAATTTCTTCAGTTTCAAGTTTCAGACATTTCAGAAACGTAATTTCTTTCATGTCATGCAGCTTCTTTGGTTGTTGATCAATCTGTCCTAAAAATGAGCAACACAAAATGGTTTGTAAAGAAAACTAATAAACTATAGAAATTTAGAGCAATAAATTAGCCAGTTGAAATTGTTTAGGATATGTTTACGATATGCAAGGAGAGCTATCATACTACAAGAAATCATAGGATAAAATAGAGGGTTAATAAATTTGTCTTTGGATGATTTGGATTATGAGGATGAGGAGTTAAGAGAAAAAAGGACTTCCATATAAACTCTCCCCATCAATACTGTAGTGATGATATATAATTATGTCATAGGAAATGTTTGTATTTCTAACCAGGATGCCATCAACAAAAAGAGAGAGACATAAGACAACATTAAGGAATGATAAAAAAACAACATGACATTTCAAGATTTTACATAACACTTATATTTTATATAACACCTCAAGATTTTCAAGATGTCATGTTTCTACCTCATTTGATCATTACAATACCGCCATTCAAATAATTAACACAATTTTTCAAATAAGGAAATTAAAATCAGAGAAGTTAAATGATTTGTCCAATAGTACATAGCTAATAAGTACAGATCCAAGATTATAAACCTGGCTTTCCCCAGTGCTTTCTGTTAGAGACACGGCAGAATATCTGGTACATATATCATGTGCCACCCAACCAAGAAGAGCAAAATTTGGAGATTAAGCGTCTATATGACATGTCTTTGCCCCCTTCTTTTGGCCTCTTTCTTCTTTCCTTCCTTTCTTCTACCTCCTTTCCTTCCTTTTCCCTTTGCTTCCTCTTTCTTTTTTTAAATTCAAGGGACAACCTGTTATTGTCCAAAGTAGCTTCCTATTAGACTAAATATACAGATGGACAAATAGAAAACCCCCAAAGGCTTATTTTGTTTCAGTTTATTTTCAGTTTGAGTTAAACCACGTATATACTAACATGACCTGATCCCAGCAGGCAGAACTAATTGAATGTGTTTGATTCAACCACAAAAAGTAGATGATAAAGCGAAAGAAACCTGCTACAGAACCAAGTTATAAATCTGGGAAATAGGAGGGACAAAACTCCATAGCAGAGGAACTCCAAAGCCAGGACATTTCAAAGGAAGAGACTATAACTCAAATCTGGAAAGCAGTACATACATTTATAAACTCTGATATCAGAGTTCAGTTCACTTGAATTCAGCAAACACTGAGCTCTTATTACATGCCAGTCACTGGGATGGGTCCTGGAGACTCAAAGGTCCATAACTCCTGGTGTCAAGAGCACACACCAGAAAGGATAAAAGAGTAGCAAAGAGAAAAACGCTGAACTTTTATTATTTAAATTTTATTGTTATGATGGATACTCCCTATAATAACAACATACTTCAAAATTATCTGTTTGTTAATGGAGAGAGATCTTAATCTGATTAAGAGAAGTGAGGGAAATAACATGCTTAGTCAACAACTAGCAAAAAATGCCACCTTGCAGCAGAACAAGGGACATGACTAAACAACTAAAAGCTATTAATAATTCAACCTTATGAATGCAGTTAATTTAAAGTAATGCCACACACTGAATAGGAGATCAATGTTTCTTTATCTTTGTTCTCTTGAGAATAATCAGGACTAGTTTAAATATCCACATGTATTACATTTCAAAAGCTAAGTAGAACTCGTGATTTTGGATCTTACTCTTGAGGATTATCTTGTCCTTTCTTTTTTGACAATGTCTTTTCTGTAGAATGTTAATACAACATCTATTGCAAACTCCTTCTCATTTTGACCATTTCTACCTGAATTATTTTTATAAACATGGTGAAAATAAGGAGTCCTTTGAAATTTTGCATTTAAATGTTGGTAATATATCCATTCTCCACATTACAACCAGTAATATTTCTAAACTAGAATTCTGACCTTATCTTTGCTTAACATCCTTCAAGATTTTTCATTTCTTTCAAGAAACACTGAACATTTTTTCATGTAATTTATAAAGTCTTGTATAATCTAGGCCATGCTATGGTCAGATTTCTTGAAAATTTCTTTCTTTGTCTTACTAGCATCCACCTACTCTTCAGTTCTCCATTTATGACATTTCTTCTGAAAAGTTTTCCCCAAATTTCAGGTCTGTGTTAGGTGCCTCTCCTAGATGCTGCCAGAGCAACTTTCACCTTCTTCTTTCATAACAAACATGCTCACTACTTAGTTTCCCCAGTTAGATTTTTAATGGGAACATGTCCATCTTAGTACTATAGCCCTAGTACCTAGCATAATCCTTGGCACAAATCAAGGATACAATATATATTAATTGAATAAATGAATAAAATAAGCCTCAATCTCCTCCCAAGGTGGCATTTTCAATGGTATAAATTCCAAGTTAACTCTAGGGCTATTTTAAAAGCATCTCTTCAACCCCAAATTCTCACTGTCAATCTGATGAGTTTTGTCCCACTGAAAAGGTGATACTAGAGTGTACCTTATGGTACTAAAGAAAAATAGTGAGAAGGCTCAAAGTGAGTAATTTTAGGGTTCTTAATGCTGCCAGCAACAAATAAATGCAATAAACTCAAAGAAATGAATTAAGCAGGTAGAATGTATCCACATTCGAATGCTCCATCTGTAGAAGTAGGGTTTACATTTTTCCCCAGAGTCTGGGTTTGGGTTACTCAGGCTTTCCACGTAATTGCCTCTTAGGCAATCCATGTCCTAAATAAATCCAACTCTGTGTGTATGTGTATATGTGTACTTATTTACTAATAATTAACCCTTCTCACAGAAAGAGAGCCAAAAAAATGGTTATAAAAATTTATGGCCTAAAACAAAACAAGCACTGTTTGCTTTTTCCCCCTCTTTCAATCTCTCTTACCCACATACAAACATGCATGCTCACATCCAAGAGAAAGACAGTTGACTTTCCAACTTAGTTAATTACCTGACAAGCTCCAAAGGGCTTGCTCCTTTTTTCTTGCCATTGCCTCTTGAACTTGACACAGCCAAAATTCAATATTCATAATCACCTCAATGATGTCAGCCGGGGCTCCTTCAATCACTAACTTTGCCTTTCCCCGACTGATATTCTCTGTGATAGAGACTCCTGGGGTATTCTGTAACTGAGCAAGGTTGTCATGTTCCACTTTCCCAAAGTAGAGGATATGATTATTCTCAATGACGTGGAGGCCCTGATTGTGGAGAATCCTGAAGATCCACAGTTCGGCCTCACTCATCTTTTCTGGGTTGAGTCCCATTAGACTGATGGCAGGAGATGTAGCTTCATGTCCATTTTCTCTTCTCTCTCTCTCAGGGACTGAAAAGACTATCATAAACAATCACAGAGAGCAAGTGAATTTTAACCTAATGCAGAACTAACCACCCAGTTTAGTATTTGCCCCAAGGATACTATCACCATCATCAGCAGTAGCAGTTTCAGTTAAATACCTATCTCTAAGAGCTGTGCTGGGTACAAAGGAAATTTAAATGTATACTTTACAGTCTCCTTGGGAACACAGAGTTTATCATCTCTCTCTCTCTCTCTCTCTCTCTCTCTCTCTCTCTCTCTCTCTATATATATATATATATATACTATATATATATACTATATATATATACTATATATATATATATAGTATAGTATATATATATATATAGTATAGTATATATATATATATATACTATATATATATACTATATATATATACTATATATATATATATATATATATAGTTCTCTCTCTCTCTCTATATATATATAGAGAGAGAGCTGCCCCTGAAAAAAAAGAGCTGCCCCTGAAAAGGACAGGATTGTTAAAAAGAGATGCTTGCGAGCCTCCCTGGTGGTGCAGGGTTAAAGTCTCAGTCTAAATTTCAAGCTATCACCAGTCACTGAGGCATGAATTCAATGCCCACAAGGCACTGCAGACCTCTCCTGCCTCACCCGTTGCTCCCCTCAGCAGTATATTTCAGTAGAACTCCCTGTTCTGCTCCCCATTCAGTCTCTGGTGAATCCTCTCACCCCCAACCCTGCACCTCTCGCCTACATCCCAGTTCTTATATGCATAAATAAATAAAAATAAATCCTTTTTTTAAAAAAAGAGAGAGATGCCTGCATAGTCACAGGCAGGCTTTATCATGTCTTGTCCCCGCCGATTGCAATGGTCAATTCACAGATGGGTTTAGCTTGTGATCTCATAGTAGTGTTAACCAACTATTATTTCCTGCTTAATGGAATTTTCTTTCACCTTTAAAATAAACACCTCTGAAAACCAAAATTAAAGAGTTAAAATTATTTTTTAAAAATACAGGTATTTCTGATTATAACAATAATAAATGTTTATCATTGGAAAATTAGAAAATATCTAAGTATCATGAAAGGAAAAATACCCATTATTCCACTATTGGGATTTCTTTTCATGCCTTATCTGTATATGAGAGGACAGTTTGCACCTCCACCACAAGTACCTGGAGTTTAGCAGCTGTGGTCATGGAAAATAGTACATCCCATCAGAGAAGAAAAGGGGACTTGATTCCAACCCAACTACCTGCACCCTTCTCTGTAATTACCCCCACAAGTAGTAAAGATATATTGTAAAGAGAATCTCTAATAGATTTGATGCTGAGCCCAAATTGCAAGAGAATGGAACAGCTGGGAGGAAATTGATAGGCGAGGAAGTACCTAGAATTTATTAGAAATACCCTGAAATCATTTTAAAAAGAAACAAAGCAGGGCCTCCCTGGTGGCGCAAGGGTTAAGATGCAACCTATGAAGCAATCCGCAGCCACTTCAGCAAAAGTTCGACTCCAGGCCAGCCAGGAAGCAACCCACATGGCTCTCCTGACTCGCCCACTGCTCCCCTCAGCAGTGTATTTCAGTCAATCTGCTTGTTCTGTTCCCCACTCTGTCTCTGGTGGATCCTCTCACCCCCACACCTCTGCCCTGTACCCCAGCTCTTGTATGCATAAATAAATAAATCTTTTTTAAAAAAAGAAAAAACCAGTAGCCAGTAGTATGAAAAATATGTGTGAAAAGATACTCATCTTCATTGCTAAGCAGGAAAATTAAAATCACTAGACAGGCAAAATTTACAAGTCTGACTATATCAAGTATTAGGAAAGATGTACAGCATCTGAAATGCCCATGACAGATGTGAAACTGGAACAACTCCTCCTATGATTCTATTATTTAAAGAAATGTACACATATGTATTGGGGGGATGTGTACATGAAAGTTCACATTCTTGTTTGTAACCGCAAAAAACTGGAAATAACCCAATGTCTTTCAATGATGGAATGTTATTCTAGCAGTGAAAAAGTGTGAACTTTAGCTATAAATGAATTTCAGAAACATCCTGGGAGGAAAAAGTTGAGCATTTACATGTTCTACATTGTTCCAAGTGCTTTACATATACGATTTTATGTGATCCTCACAACCCTAGAAGATAGGTACTGTCAGTAGACCAGCATCACAGATGCAGAACACACTCAGAGAGTTACTAAGTAACTTACGGTTATAGAATGAGTAAGTAGTATATGGAGCTAGTAGGTATGAGTAGCATAATTCTGTGTTCACACAATTGTGTTTTCAATGAGTGATTGCAGGACAATAGTGGTAATTAGCAGCTGGATGGCACCAGGAGCTATGAAAAAGTACCAAAACAGATCTAGAAGTAAGAAGGGGAGGCTGGCCTCCCAATTAAGTAAAAAAAAATAAAAGCCAATGTTTTAGACAATAGAAAGAAATGACAGGAATTCTTAAGTGGGAAACATACTTATTTTTTTGCCCTTTTATTGCTTGTGAGGAGAAAATAAAAACAATATATGGTGATACTTCATTTATCCATTTTTATCAGGAAAGAAAAATTTTTCTTCCAGATAACTAAGTTGTTCAGATCACTAAAGGATCTTACACTAGCACCAGCTATTTCACTATTAACTTATTAATTAATTAGTTAATACTTAGTATTAGCTATTTATTAGTTAAATATTTCTAGTGGAAACACATTTCCCTGTCTTCCTAAATGGTCTAACTTTTCCTTGATAATCTGAGATCATCATCAGTAAGCAACATTAGTGTCAATCAATGTCCTGTGCTGTGATTCCCTAACATATATTCTCAAGAATTTCTGATGAATGGACCTTTCTGGTGGCCTAGGGGTTAAGTATTAGTGCTATCACCACTATAGCCTCACTTCGATCCCTGGCCAAGGAGCTAAACCACATATAGCACAGTAGACCTATCCTGTCTTGCCCACCGCTGCCCTTTGCAGTGTATTTCAGTAGATCCACATATTTTGCTCCCCACTCTGTCTCCAGTGAATCCTCTCACCCCACCATCCTTCACCCACCTCCCCCCATCACCCATACCTCTGGCTTACACTCAGTTCTTCTACACAAAAATTTAAAAAAAAAAAAAAAGAATTCCTGATGAAAATGATAATGACGGGTATTTCTATGTTTCTTCTGTAAGTATCCTCGCCAAAAATTCTCCTCTAGATTCACTGTGCTTCACCAGATATGCACTACATTTGTTTATTTGTTTGCTTCTATGAGTTTCTTTCCCTTGGTTGCCCCACCCCACCAATTCTGGCCTTTGAAAATCTTGATATCCTGGGACTCTCGGTGGCGCAGCGGTTGAGCGCTGGGTTGCGAAGCTGCCCGCAGCCTCTGCAGCGCCGGTTCGATCCCCGGTCCCTGGTTGCAGGTCCCACATGGCACGTAGACCTCTCCTGCCGCCTGCTGCTTCCCTCAGCAGTGTACTTCATCTGTCTTCCTGTTCTGCTCTCCACTCTGGCTCTGGTGAATTCTCTCACCCTCCCGCACTTCTGACTGTACCCAGTGCTTGTATACATAAATAAATAAAATTTTAAAAAAGAAAAAAAGAAAAAAAAAAAAGAAAATCTTTATATCCTCAAATCCCGGCTAGAAACTATCTCCTCTGTGAAGTCATTCTTGGTCCTTCCATCAGAATGAATCTTTCCCTCCTCTGGGCCACCTGGGGAATTTGTTCATCCTCACATTCATTATTAGCCTGTAACTTATTTAATACTTCACAATTTTTACAAATATTCTCCATTTGTTCTCACAATAAGGTGTAATTATTATCATTTCACAGATAAACAGGCTGATGAGAGGCACAATCACAGACCAGAGTTCTTAAAATTTCCCCTTCTTCATTTCCACTACTGAACCACTAAGCCTCTCTAAGAGAACTCTCCTCTTAAAGGATATAAGCAAGTCCTTTGGACCCTAGTGGGAAATATCCTAAAAGTTTTTATTATAGGTTGAAGGTACAGTGTTCTTAACATCTATATGAACTATAGATTAAAAAATATATATATATTCCTAAAGTACATCTTAGATCTCACCAGCAATTCCATCTCGATTCACTCAAACTCCATTAAAAGAATGGAGCTATAAGACAAACTAAATTCTCTTCCAGTCCTCAGCAACCAGGATTAGTTTAGTTCAATGACCTCCAAGCCTGGTTGAACAGCAAAACTGATGAGAGAGCTTTGAAAAAATATGTCCTTGGCCTATATCCAGAGTTCCTGAATCAGAATCTATTAAGTTAAGGCCTAAATTTTTGTTTAAGTTTCTGCCATGATCCCAGTGATTACTCAGATTGGGTAGGTAGCATTAGGTTAATATATTTATTGTTATCTGGTGTTGCTGAAATGTGCTTTCTATAATAACTAATGAGTAACCCTATTTAAATGTAACCCTGCTCAAAACATGAAGAATGATGTTATCTCCTCAGTTTATGAAGGGCAGCACTGTATTTTAGAAAAAGATTTATATTTGGAGTTGAAAACTACCCTTTGTTTATATCATGAAACTCTGTTTATATCATGAAACTGTATTAGGCAAGAAGTATAAAGCAGGTATAAAGCAGGTTGCTACCTAAGCAGAGCACAATGAAATATATTTGGTTTGCTTAGTCTTCTCCCATTAGTTCAAACGATCAAGAGTGAAAGAGCCTATAGTGGGAGACTATTTCTAAACCCTTGAATTTCTTATTTTTTTAAGATTTATTTTTATTTGCTTACGCATACAAGAACTGGGGTGTAGGCCAGAGGTGCAGGGGATGAGAAGATTCACCAGAGACAGAGTGGGGAGCAGAACAGGTGAATCTACGGAAATACACTGTTAAGGGAAGTAGCAGGCAAGACAGGAGAGGTCTGCTACTCCATGTAAACCCTTAAATTTCTACTCACCACTTTGATTGCTGACTCTCGGAAGACTGGACTTAATCTTTTCCATTTCAGCACTGAAAATCTACAGGAAGCAAACAGAGTAGAAGATCATAAGCAGGGTTTTTATCCATTGTCATCAAAATCCCTCCCCCTACTTGCACACCCCACAATTGACCTCATCCACTCTGTTAGTCCTCACTCCTACTGCCACAAATCTATAGCAGCCTGTAGAAAAGTCTTGGGGAAACAGCAAATACAGCACCACAATTGATTACAGCATGTAGGAGAAACAAGTATAAGAAAAATGGAAAGAATAGCAAAATTTATTATAGTATAGAACAAAGGTATACTCCAAGGTAAGTATTATTGTTAGGGGGAAAAGGATGTCCCAAAGCAAATTCCATATAGGCTTTGTGGACTCCACCCCCACCCCAGGTCAAAGCCAAAGACACTGGGAACTCCAAATCTCATCACCATCAAAGGGAAGGTGGCTGGGACGGGAGGGTGGGGTTAAGCAGCCAGGGGGATACAAAAGGCAGACACGTGGGCTTTGGGGATTCCCCCATTTTTGGCTCTCGGCCAGCTCGCAGCAAGTCAGGCCAGCCCTGAGAGTGACTTTGGGTTTCCAGATCATCGGATTGGGTAGGACGCATTAAAGACTTTATTTCCCTATTTTCTCCCTGAGCTGTACATTTTCCTTATTTCTTTTTCTCTTGTAAATAAACCTTTTATTAACCCTTTTGTGTGTGTCTGTAGTAGAGTATTCATAAGTCCCTTTAAAGCGCGCGGGTGAGGACCCACAGCCAGGAACCCGTTTAATATCGGGGTTGCTCTATAACATTATCTTCATTCACTTCACATATTAAAGCTGTGGAAATGTCACTGTGATGGAGGACAGGAATAGAAAAAAAACTGAAAAATGAAGCACCACAAGACCAGAAATCTGGCTCACACAAGGAGGTAGCTATAGGAGAAATTAGCATAACCAAGATAACTAAGATCCTTAGGGCAGACGACATAGTTATGGAAACTAAGATCCTTAGGCGCCATGCCTAGACTACAAAGCATAACATTCAAGTAGGTATCCCAAGTGCGCATCCAAGGATAAAAATATGGAGATTGAGCCCATTGTAATCTCTGGTCCCTTTCAAATTCTACATAGTTATCCAAAATCAGCAACCAACTGACAGGCTCAGCTCTCAAAGATGAGCCCCTCCCTACCAAAAGAAGACAATAAGGGCCTCCCTGGTGGCACAGGCTGTTGAGCGCAGAGCAGTTCGATCCCGGCCGACCAGCAAGGGTCCCACATGGTGCAGTAGACCTCTCCTGTCTCACCCACTGCTCCTCTCAGCAATGTATTTCGTCAGTCTGCCTGTTCTGTTCCCTGCTCTGTCTCTGGTGAATCCTCTCACCCTCCCGCGCATCTGGCCTGTACCCCGGTTCTTGTGTATATGAATAAATCAATCTTAAAAAAAAATAAAGAAACAACCTAAGTGCTCCAAAATGGATGAATGAATCAAGAGGATGTGGTATTTATACACAATTGAATACTACTCAGCAATCAAAAAAGAAAAACAAACTCATTGACAGTTGCTTTGGTGGCAGGTATACTATGCTAATAATACTTGAATGGGGGGATTCTGTATTTCCAAAATAAAAAAATAATAATGTAAACCAATACTACTACAGTAAAAATAAATAAAAATAAAAGCAAGAAACCCATTACATGGTAGTGTTGTAGAGCAACCCCGATACAAAATGGGGTGCCTGACTTTGGGTCCTCACCCGCGCGCTTAAAAGGACTTATCAATGCTCTACTACAGGCACACGCAAAAGGTTAATAAAAGGTTTATTTACAAGGAAAGGGGAAATGAGAAAATGTACAGCTCAGGAAGAAAAGTGGGGGATAAATTTTTAAGTGAGTCCTACAGGATCCGCCGATCAGGAATCCCAAAATGGCACTCTGAGAGCTGGCCACAAGCCAGGAGCCGTGAAGCCAGGAGGCGAGCAACAGCGAGCCAGCCCAAGGCCCACGTGTTTGGTTTTTATATCCAACCTGGCTGCCCAACTCCACCCTCAGGTCCCAGCCACCCTCCCTTTGGTGGTGACAAGATTGGTCTTTCCCAGTGTCTTGATGGCTTTAGTCTGGAGTGGGGGTAGGGTCCACAAAGCCTGTATGGGATTAGCTCAGGACATCATTTCCCCCTAACAGTAGCACAAATAACATTTCTTTATGTTTCCAAAACCAAAGACAATTTAGTTGAAAGAGTACCCCTATTTTATATTTTCATGAAAAAAAATCAGCTCTCCAGAAGTCATATAGAAGTCAGGATATGTCATGGGGTTAAATATAAATTAGATAAGATTTTTTTCATTGAATGTGGAGTAGACCCAAATGCCAAGAATCTGGTAGTGTTTCTAGCTCTATCTGTGAGTAACCAACACCTAACGTGAGGGATATCAGTAGAACCCCTAGAGAGGGGTTCCTTATTCTGAGACGATGTGTGACACAAGATAGATATGCAATAAACAGTTGTTAAATAACCAAATGAATAACCATCCATGCCTTTACATCGATAAACAGATACTCAGGTCCACCCAGGAAACTTATCATCCTGAAAGGCCAGTGAACACAACTATTTCAGTCAGCTGGGAGTTATTTGCTCACTGTCATTCATGAATTGGAAAATTCACGAGTGGGTGAATGTAAATATTACTTTATTGTGAATTAGTGTAGGCTGAACTTCCTGAATCAAGTCAACTCTGGAGGTCTGGCGATCCATTTTCTGGAATATAGGAACCTGCTTAGGAAACACCCCCTTTGAGGAAGTTAGCTGCCCTTTGATCCTTCTGAGCACACACCCCTTGCTGAAAGAAGTATTGAGAAAGGAAGATATGCTTATCAGAAGGCTGTACATACACAGACACAAGCACACACATATACTTCTGTTACAGGGCAGCCCCAATATAAAATGGGTTGCCTGACTGTGAGTCCTCACCCGCGCACATGGAATTTACTTAGGACATTCTTTTTCCCTAATACTTCTAGGTGGATATGACACCGTGTTAATATTGAATAAAACCTGGAGGAATGGTCAATGTTCAGGGTATGATTACTGTGTAAAATAATCCTCCCCTCTAAGTTGTAAACTGGAAAAACATCACCTCTCAAGCTATTGTTTCTGTTTTTGTTTGCTAATTCAAAACACAGCCTTTGGTGGGGTTTTTGTTATTGTCTCTTTTGCTGTGCAGAAGCTCTTTAATTTGATGTAGTCCCAGCTATTTATCTTTGCCTTCACTATCACTGCTTTGGGTGATGTGTCTGTAACGATGTCTTTGATGTGCATATTATGTAGTGTTTCACCTATATTTCCTTCTATGTATTTTATGGTTTCAGAGCATCTGCACCCCTATGTTTATAGCAGCACTGTTTACAATAGTTAAGCTTTGGAAACAACCCAAATGCCCAAAAATAGATGACTGGATCAAGAAGATGTGGTACATATACACCATGGAATATTACTCAGCATTCAAAAAAGATAAACACATGCAATTTGCAGCAACATGGATGGTACTGGAAGGGATCATGCTCAGCAAAATAAGCCAGAAAGAAAAAGAAAAATACCGGATGGTCCCACTCATAGCAGGAATCTAGAAAACTTAAATAAGGGACCAGGAAAATGAATAACTATAAGAAAGTGAAAATCAAAATCAACAAACAACTATGAACCAGAGACACTCTATGGGGGATGGGGGACAGGGAGGGGAGAGATTGGGGTCAAAATAAGGGGGTTGCAATTGTATGGGGAATATAAAAATAAAATTTATTTTAAAAAAAACCACAGCCTTTGGGCTCAGACAGACAGACCTGGGTTGGAAATTGGTTCTGCCATTTGACTAGTGTGTGCATATTAACCTCTGGGCTACTTATGTTTTCCTATTTGTAAAATGAAGATGACAGCAGTGGCTTTATCACAGGATTGAGGGAGAATTGAAATGAGACAGCTTCTTCTTAGCATGGTACCTGGCTGATGCAATACTTGCCAGCAATTTTTCTTGCTGGCCCTAGGGAAGCCCTCAGACTGTGGTTGATCTTCCCACTTTTGTTGAACTGCCATGTACATTTTTGTATGTATGTTGGAAATGAGGCTTTTTTCTACATGTGTTTAATTCTTCTTGTAAGGGTAGGTGATCCACATGAATATTTCAGGGATGTACTCAGGGCGCCTGTCTGAGCCCAGTAGAAGTTCTCTGTTTCACGGGGACTGGTGAACTTCATTTAAATGGCAGGATGATTTATTTTGTTAAGAAAGTGAGTTACTTAACTGGGTAATTTGCCACCATCTTGCAGATTAACAGTGACTAAGACACAGTGGTGTCATAGAGATAGTCCACGTTGTCTCATGAGAACCCTCTTCTCAACCCTGCTGTCAGTGATGTTGCAAGGATAGCCTGAAGTCAACAGGGAAAATCAGCAAACATTACACACCTCCCTATATCTAGTCAGGCAGCAAAAGGAATAAGAACCTTTATATTGTTTAAAAAAAAATAGCAAGCTAGTACAAATATAAGTTCACTTGTTTGTAGGGAGAGATAAAATGACAACCAGCCATATGAAGACAGGCTGGAAGGGGGAAAGGGAATGATCAGAAAACTAATGTTCAGAGACACTCCCTCTGCCAGGCACTGAGCAAGGCCCATCCTATCCCAAACCCAGACAGCTCCCTGGGAAGTGACAGCATCTGGATATTGCTGTTGGCAGAAGCAGAAACTTATGTCTGAAAACCTATTTTAAAATGCTATATCTTGGGCCTTCTTGGTGGCGCAGCAGGTTGAGTGCAGCGCTGTGGAGCTGTCCACGGCCTCTGCAGTGTAGGCTCGATTCCTGGCTGGCCAGGGAGATACCCACATGGCATGGCAAACCTCTCCTGCTTCGTCCGCTGCTACCCTCAGCAGTGTCTTCGGTCCATCTGCCTGTTCTGCTCCCCACTCTGTCTCTGGTGAATCCTCTCACCCTCCCAATCCTCTGGCCTGTACCCCAATTCTTGTATAAATAAAAAATAAATCTTTAAAAAAAATAAAGTGCTGTATCTCATCGTACTTCAGGTATTTCAATATATTTCACTTCCTTTTTATTCTTCCTTAATATCATTGAAATCCTTTTTGAAAATGCCAGATAAATGAGAACAAGGCAAAGAGATGCTACTTTAAAGGCAGATCAGCACAGCAATATATATTGCTAATTATGCTGAATACATATATCAGGGACTTATTAACATGTTAGAAATGCAGCTTAATCTGCCCACTCTACAACAAAAAGCTGAGGTGAAAGGAAAAGAAAATACTGCACACAGAAATCTCCCCACACAGACACATTCTCCTACACACATGTCCCTCCATCTTTGTGTTAGAACATAACTGATTCCGCTCTGAGTTCTCCAACAGTAAGAATCAACTGCATTTGAGGACGATATTGGGATATGGCAAAAGTAGCCAAATATTCTCCTGCAATTAAAGAATTTATAATCTAATTGGGAAAAAAGATACCAAGCAATTCACTTGATTTAGTAATTTGTTTAGCACTCAGTGTATTGTAATTCATTACAGCTGTTATAACAACAATCAACCTTCAACCGTCAAGGAGGGCTTACTGTGTGTCAGGTACTATTCTGTGTTTTACATCTATTAACTTATTTAATTCTCATAATAGCTCAATAAGATGGTAGCTATTATGCCATTTAAAAGGTGAGGTACAGATAAGTAAATTCATTTGTCCAAGGAGTTGACTGACTCGAAAATGGATTTAAGATAACAGTCAGATATCCAAGGAGAAGTGAAATAGGATAGGGAGTAAGGGTTTGAAGATGGCTCAGAAGACAGGACTTTGAAGAAGTTATGGCAGAAGTTGTAAGAATAGTGTTCTGAGAGGGAGCGAGAAACAGAAGAAGCCACACTGAAACTAGAAAGTTGCTTACCTTCAAGAGCAGAAGGAAGAATAAAGGCCAACAAAGGAAAAGAGAGAAGCTAGGTAGTTGGTAAACCTGGTTTCCATAATGACATTCTTTAATGGGTCAGAGGTGGACAATTGATAAAAATGAAATCTCAGCGAGTTAGATCATCACCACACTGTATAGCACACAGCCCCAAATGTCTTATAAGGGAGATACTAAAGAGATGCTGAATGAATGAGTGAATGATCTATGGGACATTTCTAAAATATTAACTTACCTTATATAGGTCCACTTTTGCTGGGAAAATCACAAATTTTACAGTTAATTTTTTTTTTTCCAAATACTGTCTGGCAAATTCTAAGACTTCGTCAAACATGATCTTTGCTGCTGTAGTCATTGATATACCAATCTCTCCAGTTCCAAGGGCAGGAAAGGAAATTGAAGTTACATTTTGACCAATGCATTTTGACAAACATATCTTCATTACATGCACCAACGTCTACAGGAAAAAAACAAATTTAAGATCAGTCTTTGCATCAAAAATAAAATAAAACTTCACTTACCCCTTGTTCCTGCCCACATTTTACAATGCAAACCTCCTCTCTCGCCCAGAGCCATGTTCATGCCTCCTCAGAAGGCAAAAAGCTCTCACTCCAAAGGGAACCCATTATATCTATAAGGTTAGATAGTGAGAAATCAAAGGACCAAGAAACTAAAGTACTTGAATGGTCCATTTTGAGCTATGAAGGAAGTTTGGGGACCAGTTTATGTAGCCTTGCCCATCTCCCTAGGTCAGAGAGCCAACCGTCACTTTATGCCCATTCCTTTGCTCCTTCTAGGTCAACATAACCAGCCCTTGGAAATGTAACAAAAGTTAGAGGTTAAAATAGCAAAGTATGTATACAATGTCAATAAGATCTAGCATGTAATTTCTCTTTGAAAAGTGCTAGTATAGTTGGCAGGTTAAACTTTCCTTCAACATTTCACCATCCAAACTGAAGACTAATACAGGAAGACTGTCTTTGTAAGAACCTTGGAAAACCGAGAGGTAGAGAGTGATTAGAGAACCAATGTGGGATTAGAGGGCTCTCTGTAGCCAAGAAAGGAATAGTGACAGAATAAAAACAGACAGAGAAGGCATTAAAGTTTCTCTCTCCATATCTCATGGGTTCCCCATATTCTTTTTTTTTTTTTTAAGATTTATTTATTTATGCATACAAGAACTGGGGTACAGGCCAGAGATGTGGTGGGTGAGAGGATTCACTAGAAACAGAGTGGGGAACAGAACAGGCAGATTTACCAAAGTACACTGCTGAGGGGGGCAGCAGGCGAGACAGGAGAGGTCTGCTGCGCCATGTGGGTTGCTCCCTGGCTGGCCGGGGATTGAACTCATGCCATAGAGACTGCGGATTGCTTCATAGTGCAGTGCTTAACCCCTTGCACCACCAGGGAGGCCCCTATTCTTTTTTAAAAAGATTTATTTATGCACACAAGATTTATTTATTTATGCATATTTATTTACACATACAACTGTGCAGGCCCGTGGTATGGGGGTGGGGTGAGAAGAATCACAGAGACAGAGTGGGGAACATAACAGGCAGATCTACTAAAATACATTGCTGAGGGGAGCAGCAGGCGAGCCAGGAGAGGTCTGCTGCGCCATGTGGGTCAGCTCCCTGGCTAGGGATCGAACTCGTGCTGCAGTAGTTGAAGATTGCTTCATAGTGCTGACACCCAACCCCTTGCGCTAGGGGGAGGCCCAGCCCCTCTATTCTTTAATGTGTGTATTTTATGTGCTTTCCATGTAGAGCTGACAAGTCAATCTTTACTGCAAGCACAGGCGGAAAGAGACCACAGGTAACAGATGAGGCAGAAATGGGCATGGAAGGGAAATCCCAGGTCCTCCTGGATTTAACAAACAGAGGGAAATAATGAGAAGCTGAATCCCAGGCCCACTGTGTGTGATAAAGTGAAAGGGAACCCTGATGTTTCTATTCTCTCTGTGCTCTGCATACTTAAAATTTAGACATGACTTATATTACATAACATTTTAAATTAAACTTCTGAAAGTAATTTGTGACAATACCTGAGTCAGTGTGTCAAGTATTCATAGGAGTGACAGAAACCACCTGATAATACCTCATGTATGTAATGACATGACAGAAATTCAACAAAGACTACACAGACTGTGAAGCTTTAGAAAAATAAACTTATTTTGACCTAACCTCAACTCGGTTAGAATATGGATCCCACAACACATGGTATACATAACGACAGGATAATTTAAATCCTTCTGTGACCAGTAACAACTGAGGATTTGGAGCTCTGTTAGTCATTTTCTTAAATTCTCTTTCCATTTCTTTTCCTGCTTGTTGTAGGATGGCTTGAGACACAAGTCCTCTTTTAAGATCACCAACTGCATTTGCAGAATTAACAATTACATCTGTCTGAAAGAAAAAAAATGGACAGGATTAATTTTAAATTACTTTTTCTTAAATGATTAATTTAACTATTTACCAGAAGAGCTTTGAAAAGTACTCTTTGAAGATCATAAACCCACAATATCATTTAATGATTGCCATTACTCTGTTAACTCAGAAATTAGGTAAAGTGTGTTAACAATGATTTTTATTGCAAACATCTATCAGCACCTTGTTGGCTTATACCTCCCATATTTGCAGATTCTGAGCATTTCTTGTGATTTGTTTTAAGCTCTATCAAATGGTTTCATTCCCTTGGCCGACTGTCATCACTTTTTGCATTTCATTGTGTGTTTTCTATTTTGTTTTAAACAGAAATGAAATTCTCAGAAAATTTCTACTTGCTAATGCTTTTATTTTTAAGGTAAGTAGTAAAATGTTAAAGTAAATACAAATTGGACAAAAAGGTCGTCAGTGAAAAGGAGGCCACTTTCTTGGAGAGGTCCCCAGATCCTCACTCAACCACTCATCCTAGAGTACTTCGCTAGTACCATCTGTCCTTTCAAAAACAGACTGTGCATATACATGGGTTACCTTTAAGTAATATTACCTCCTAGTTAGCCCCCAGAGCTGTGCTAAAGTGAAGGTGTATCCTTTTCTCCCTCCATGCCCACATTTCCTTGAATCACCCTGAGGGCTTTAGTTCCCTTTGGGACTACCTTCTCATGGATGTTTATGAATATTTCACTTTGAAAATGCAAGTAAAATTTGCAATTTGGAGTACTGACACCCTTTAAAAATGTTAAGGTTCCTAAAGTGGCTGAAATAGACACCATAAAATTTTACTTAAAGAAAAGTTATCCAACTAGGATGTTTCCACTTCAATTTTAAATTGTCTTATTAATGACTAATCAAATAAATATCTTATTTTGTTAGGTCCCCTCAATCTTCTTTCAAATTGCTTTGTAGGCAGTAAGTGGTATTTTTTAAGGGGAAATGAGTACGTATGTATTTTATTGCTCCAATAAATTATAGGATGAGTTGTATTTTTTTTTCACTTTACAATTAAATCTACTTGATTATGGCCACAGTAGAGTCCTAAGTGTGACATCACTGACCCAGAAAAAAAGGAATATAGCGATATATTCTTCCTCTTCCTCTGTCGCAGTCCCCATCTCTAGTGCCTTCCTCATTTATTCATCGATAATTTGCTCAACACCTACATGAACACCCAAACCAGGTCCTGGGCTACAGAGATGAAGAAGCCATGATCCCCATCCTCAAGGTGCTCTCTGCTGAGCAGAGGAGCTTCACTAACCCAGAAATACTTAGGTTCACTGTTACCCTGACTCCTGCAGGGCAAGGTCCTACCCTTCATGCCCAGTGAAACCTGAGCTAAGTTGTACTCTGTATTCCCCACAATTTCTGGTCCAGAGTGATATACTCAGAATGCAGCTTACAGTTCCACCTGGGATTCCTCACTGGTCCAGCCATTATTTTCAGCCTATCATTCCTCTGTCTCTCTGATCAAGTCATTCTAACCACCTAGAGCTTCCCTCCTGCAAATTCATACCCATTGTACCTGGGAAAAGATTCAAACTCATGTCCTCTGAAAAAGCTTGTTACAAAATCTACATACTCTCTCATATTTGAATTCATTTTATATTAATCCTTTTTTGTTACTATGCATAGGTTGCTTCAGAAATGTTCAAATGGTTTGTTCCTCCGATGAGATTTTTGAATAGAGAATTATTTTTCATATAAAAATTATAAAACAGACACTAAGTTCCTTGGAATCAGATTGCCCCATTTTCTCATGATGCTTAAGAATAAAACAATAATAATTATAAGTACTTTTCATGTACCAAGTTCTATTCTAAGCATTTTATTTATATTGATTTCAACTATGAGATACAAATGCTATGATTATCCTCATTTTATAGATCAGGAAACCAAGGACCAAAAGAGAAAGTAACGCAATTCAGGTCAGCCAGTTAGTAAATGGCAAAACTGGTATTTAAGTCCAGATGTTCTTTATCTGATGTCCATACTGCTAACCTTAACAAGATGCTTTCTGAGCAGTGTTTGAAACAGTATATACTCAAAATATACTTGCTAGTAATCAATAGCTTAGGGATCCCCTTTGGCAGCACAGGAGAGCAGAAACAGACTCACCGCCTGCTGTTCAATGTAGCCCTGGACAATCTGGAGAGTCACGTTGTTCACAACCACCGTGTTAAAAGGAGGCATTGCTTCTTGATTCATCCAGGATTCCAGTTCATTCCTCCTTATGATAATTTCTGAAGCACTTTTAAATGCAGCAACAGTAGGATCCTCATTGCTTACCAGGTGAATTTCTTTCAAACAACTGTTCAGGTGCTTCTGTTGGAAATGTAACTTGATAGTTTCCACAATTATCTCAGCACACAAATGTAGAGGGAACCGGAAAATCCCAGAGCTCACGGCTGGAATTGCTATTGTCTTAATGTCCCCCTTTCTTGTGACCCACTCCAGAATGTTGTTAATAGCTTTGTGAAGTAAAAATTTACATCTCTCTCCATCACTCTCTTTCCACTGAGGCCCAACAGCATGGACAATAAATTGGCAGGGAAGCTTCCCTGCTTTTGTGACAGCTATCTCACCAGGTGGTATTTTACCAAATTTGGAAATGTATGCTCTGCTCTCCTCTTGGATTTCAAAGCCACCAGCATTCACAAGGGCGTGGGCCAGGCCTCCTCCATGTAAAAGTTCTTCATTGGCTGCATTCACCACCACATCAACAGCATGTCTGGTGAGGTCATCCTTCCAGACAGACAACTCTAGCCTAGGAGTCAGCATTGTCTTGAAGACTTGTAGAGACTTATTGTTACCTTCCCAGGCTGGAGGAACCAGGGTAGAGATACAGTCAAATTTATTGTTGAGGACTTCAAACAGCAGATTCTGATTATTTTTTAAAACGTTGAAGTCATTGTGATTAATGGGAATTTTCCAGTTATAGCTTTTTTCAAGAGTGCCAGTCTCTGGAAAAGGACAGAAGATAAAAATAAAGAAATGAGATAAGTTTCCTTTGAAAAGATGTAATTCCACAACACACCAGGAGACTGAATCTGTTATATACAAAAGAGAGAGGAATTCCCTCTAGCTACTTACAGGGCAACCCTAATATAAAATGTGGGTCCTCACCTGTGCACTTAAAAGGCACAGGTGAAGCACTTAAATAAGACTCAACTGCAGGCACACACAAAAAGGTTAATAAAGGGTTTATTTACAAAAGAAGGGGAAATAAAGAAATGAATAACTCAGGGGGAAAGAGAGGGAGATAAATCGCCAATGAGTCCTACTAGTTCCGCTGAGCTGGAATCCCTATAGCATGCTGAGAGCCATCAAAGAAAAACCAAGCACACCCCAAGACCGACATGATTGGTTATATACCAAAAATGGCTGCTTAACTCTACCCTCACTCCCAGTAATCCTCCCTTTCAGTGATGATGACATTATGGGATTTGTAGTTCTTGGTGTCCTGGATATCTTTGGTCTGGAGTCGGGGTAAGGTCCATAAAACCTATTTGTGGAGTTTGTTCAGGACATCCTTTCCCTCTAATATAGCCTCCTTCCTGATTCTCCTTCTCATTTAGACATGTAATTGGACAAGCACGTACAAGAGTTTCCAAGAGCAGGTCACCCATGAAGTGCTTGGTTTCATGACTGGCATATAGTAAGTACTAAGTGGTAGCTTCTATGATACAATGCAGATGATGAGAAAACTGTGTGTATGAGGGCTTATGATATTAAAATTTTTTTAATCTACATAAAAAATGGTAACTTTGGGAAGACCCAGCCTTAAGGCACAGTATTGGAAACAACTTAATTATAAGTCAAAAATATATAACTTATTTGTTATATAACTTATTATTCATATAACTTATTTGTTATTGTCAATGTCTTAGCTTGGGTTCTCTTAAAAACAGATTCTGAGGCAGAGAAGTGGGTGTGATCCTAGAAAACACCAGGAGAATGAGGTGGGGTAGGCAAAATGGGAAAGACATGAAAAGACAGAACAATAAAGATGTCATGAATCAAATGAAGTTTACTCCATTAGGGGACAGTTATGTAGATCATGTGTCTCCAAGTCATATCACCATCAAGGGTAAGGAGCTGGGATATGTATCCAATTTCTATTAGTCACTGATTGAAGCCGTTCCTTTGGAGGCATGGTGCAGCAAATGTGTAAGAGCCTTGTCAGTGCTACAGTAAAAAATTTCTTCATCATATGCTAGTTTCATGGCACAATTCTGGTGGAATTAAAATGAACTCACTAAATATTATTTATTCCATGTGGCAGGTAAGAAGACGTGCTGCTCAGATCCCCCTGAATGTGATAGGGAAGGTAGAATTTAGTTTGCTGATGGCTTCTAGTTGTTAGTCCCTTAGGGTCCAAGGGCAACCCCCATCAATGGCTAAGAAAGGCCATTTATGCCCCACCCATTAGGTGATCTGGCAGGCAAAGCTTTGTTAACCTTCAATAACTTTTGATGGCTCTACCCCAATCCAGTTTTTTCTCTTTTCCTTTCACAATAAACCTGCACTCCTAATTCTACCTCAGCTTCTGCTTTCTGGAGAACCTAAGCTGTGACACAGTATTTCTTGGAGTCTAAGGCATCGTTATTATGTGATACAGATAAAGGAAAAATGATGCCAGCTAAATTATGGCACACTAGTGATTGAGAGGGAGCAGCCTTACTTCAGAGATGAAAAAAAATGTGCATTCTAAAATAGATGAAATAAGGTAACACATTTTACTTCAACTTTCATTTCCAAAACAAGCACCTAGAAAGACTTCAGGTAGAAGAAGCCAGTAGTAATCAGATCTAATTGGCCCACATTTTGGTTGAAATCTTAAATGGGCCACCCGTAGGATTACACAGGTTCCATTTGTTTCTGATAACTTGTTGAGCAAGGGGACATTCAGAGGGTCACCTCTTCTGGCCCACATCAGCTCTAGGGCTGTGGTGAGAAGAATCTCACAACCTCTAGGCAAAGGAAAGGACCAAAGGAAATTGGAAAAGAACATGTGTCTGAGAGCACCCCCTCCCGAGGCACATGCTGGTCACAACACTGTCCTGCAAACATGTCCCTGAACCCTTGGGGAAGAGACATTGTCTTCTGTATTTCCTTTCTCCAAAGAGGAAAGATTTTCTGAAATAAAAGTGAGAGAGTGAGGTCATCCTACCTAATTCCTTACTGCAAGCTGCTTCTACACCAACCTGTAAAAAAATGAGAGTGGTTTAAAAAAGACTTGAAACCGAATAACTAGATTACTAATAACAAATACAGCTTAATAAACACAAAGCAACAGAAACCTTGCTAAAAGTGCTGGATTTTGGCCTCCCTGGTGGCACAAGGGGTTAAGCACGGCACTTTAAAGCAATCCTCAGCCTCTGCAGCATGAGTTTGATCCCCGGCCAGCCAGGGAGCAACCCACATGGCGCAGCAGACCTCTCCTGACTCGCCCACTGCTCCCCTTAGCAGTGTATTTCAGTCAATCTGCCTGTTCTGCTCCCCGCTCTGTCTCTAGTGAATCCTCTTGCCACCTGCACCTCTGGCCTGTACCGCAGTTCTTGTATGAATAAATAAATACATCTTAAAAAAAATAAAAATAAAGTGCTGGATTTGAGAAGAAAGGGGAACATGTGTTTGCTTATTTGTTTAATCTGTGTGCCTGAGTACCTTAATTACTAAATGTTCCAGCAAACATTGATTTTACCCACTTCCCCAAAGGCAAATACACCTCTAATTCGGGATGAGATGAAGGGTTAGACATTAGCACTTGAAAAGGTCCAAAGGTTACAGACCAAACTAACCCAAATCTCTCAGACAAATCTCTCATCTCCAAAGGTTTCTGGAGTTTCCCCAGATAGAAAAGATGATGTGGAACATCAGCTACATCCCTCAATGTCAGTAAGGACCCATGTTCAATTGCTTATTTCATGACACAAGTCAGTGTAGAATTTTCAGGTTAAACTAATGAGGTGACTTCTCTATTCTCTTGCTTTTATTCATCACCTTCCTTCCGCTATCCTACCAAAAGCAGAAGCACTAAATGAATAGTAAGAATCAAAGTGATATTGAGGGGATATTTTATTTTTAATTTTTTTATAAGTAACAACTTCTTTTTTTTTTAAGATTTATTTATTTATACAAGAACCAGGGTATAGGCCAGATGTGTGGGAGGGTGAGAGGATTCACTAGAGACAGAGCGGGGAGCAGAACAGGCAGACTGAAATACACTGCTGAGGGGAGCAGCAGGCGAGACAGGAGACGTCTGCTATGCTATGTGGGATGCTCCCCAGCCGGTGGGGATCAAACCGGCACTGCAGAGGCTGCGGACAGCTTCATAGTGCTGTGCTCAACCTCCTGCACCACCAGGGAGACACTTGAGGGGACATTTTAAAAGATTATTCACCCTCACATTGATTCTTTTGATTGGATAAGCACATTCTCAACTCCCCACTGGAGAATGCCAGATATAACTGAAGATTTCTTGCTTTTATTGGAAGAAATTATCATGTGCTGATCAAAGTCCATGATTTATATACATTTATGCTTTTTACCTCCAAAGAATCCATCCTCAAGGTCCCTGGGTTATTAACATTTTTATAATTTAAAAGTCCTTTAAAATCCTTTTCTGAGCACAGTTTGCAAGTGTTGTGGTCCATTTCTAGGAAGGAAAAAAAAAGGATACAATAAGCATTGAACAGCATCTTAGAGAATTTGGTAAGAATACACAGAGGAATGAATTTTTTTTAAAAAAAGATTTATTTATTATTTATGCATACAAGAACTGGGGTACAGGCCAGAGAGGATTCAGGGTACAGGGGAGAGGATTCACCAGAGACAGAGTGGGGAACAGAACAGGCATATTCACTGAAATACACTGCTGAAAGGAGCAGTGGGCGAGTCAGGAGAGGCCTGCTGCACCCTGTGGGTAGCTCCCCTGCTGGGGATCGAACTTGTGCTGCAGCGGCTGAGGACAGCTTCATAGGTTGCATCTTAACCCCCTGTGCCACCAGGGAGGCCCAAGATTAAACGTGATTTCTTTTTTTTTTTTTTAGAGGCATGTTTTATTTATTTGTTTGTTTGTTTGTTTTGTTTATGCAAGCACTGGGTACAGTCAGAAACGCGGGAGGGTGAGAGAATTCACCAGAGCCAGAGCAGGGAGCAGAGCAGGCAGAAGGACCCAAGTACACTGCTGAGGGGAGCAGCAGGTGTCAGGAGAGGTCTGTGCGCCATGTGGGACCCTCCTCTGGTGGCCAGGGAGCAGCCGGGGATCTAACGGGTGCCGCAGAGGCTGCGGGCAGCTTCGCAACCCAGCGCTCAACCGCTGCGCCACCGGGGAGGCCCTAAACATGATTTCTTATCTTGAGCAGTTTTTAATCTCACTGGTGAAGATGCATGCATTGTATTTGCTACTGTTGTTATTGTTTACCTTCAATCTTTTACAGACAAGGTCCAACTGGAATCATACTGGCAGTTCAGAGAAAGAGGGAAAAATAGGATAGGTTACGGCAGAAAAACTTTATGGAGAAAGTGAGACAAAAGTCATGCTTCCAAGGATGGAGTAGGCTCAGTTAGAAACAAAGGATGGTAACTGAGTGGTTAAGAGTGAACACAGTATTCAAAGAACATTAAGGAAAAACCATCCTCATGAGTGTGTGAGGACCCCTGGAGAGTGAAGGAAGAGGGAACTGGACTTGTGCTTGTGAAGGGTGTGTGTTACTGAGTTTGTGATAAATATCCCTGATCTACTTAGGAAGGGAAATATCTGGATAAAAATCAGAAGATTAGGGGACACATATCTTAATGATTTTCCCTCAAACAGGCAGCCATTATAGACTGACTTTTTTTAGAATGATGAACAAAATATTTAAAGACACAGTTGTCCATACTCTGAATGATTTGTAATACCTTTGCAATAGAAAAATTTTGTATGACTACCTAGGATCAGAGCACTATTTTTCTGTGTCAGGAAAAGCAGCAGCAAGTCTATTACAATGCTAAAATGCGGGAACAAATTGCCTCCAGAGGGCACTGGTGTTTTCACAAAAATGGGAAGACCAGGGTCTGCTTGTACTGTGAGCCTCAGGTGGGCTTTAGCTTTAGATGGGGTGGTTTTCTTCTTCAGACTAGATTTTAAAAGTTGAGAGACAGACTTGGTTGTGGGGTTGACATCCACTAAATTGAAAGAAATTAGAAATACGGAGCATATTGCTCAAAACATTCAACCTCTCTAATTTTACAAACAACAACCAAAAAAAAATTCCTGCCAACTTACCATCATAAGTTTCCACTGTGTTTCTTGCTCTTTCTGGGCAGCACGGAGGAGCAGACTCTCCTCCATCCAGCTGCCTGCTCAGCCTGTTGCAGTCTGGCTTCCTATGTCACCCCCAGCCCTCCTCCATGCTGTTAACCCCAACAGACTACCTTTTGTACTAATCTCTACTGAACTCCTCCTCATAGTATTTCATTCTGGCTTCTCCTAGACTATCCTCCCTTGCTATCTCTCATTTTTCCTTTAAGGGTCTTTTTCTAGGATTTACTATCAAGTTCTACTTCTTAACCATTTGCTCCAGGATTCTGAGGAGAGCACTTCTCAGCTCATTCTACTTACCTAATTTTACCCACTCCATTGGCTCCAACTGCCAGTCACAAATGTGATCCCCTATCTGTACCTCTAGGTTATGGCTCTCCCTTTTCAATCTCACCTGAAGAGGCCCTTCAAACACAGTCTGTGAAGACTGAACCCATAATCTCTTAGCTGTCACTCCTCCTCACCCCGCCCTAACCTCCTACCCTCACTCAACTACCTCAAAATCCAGGCTCAATCTCTTGAATTCCACTAACTCAGTAAATGATAGGCCATTTACCCTTATTGTCAGAAATCTAGAATCTTCTTTTTTGTCCTGTATCCAAACTATCACTGGGTCTTGATCATCTAAATCACTTTCAAATATGCTCATACCCTCCTAGTTCAGGGACACCACTTCACTTCAGAGCCTTGGGGGCTCTTGTCTAAGCTATGGCAATACATTCTTTTCAAAGATTTAAAAAGTGTTTAATTTTACATTTTATTGTTTGAATAGGTATTACATTTACTGGTTCAAATTTGAAAGTGCAAAGGTCTCCTTCCAAACCCCTCATTAAATTCATTTCCCAGTGGAAATCAACGCTATTAGTTTCTTCTATATCTTTTCAGAGGCATTTTTACACAGAAGAGGACACATCTTGCCATTTCTATTTATGTGTCCTAGAAATTTCCCCATATTATCACACAAACAGCTTCTTCATTCTTTTCACCACTTGCTGCCTTCCATGGTATAGATGCACTATTTGTTACTTAACTGCTAGTCCCCCCTCTTTACGGACATTTCAGGAGTTCCCAATCATTTGTTATTATTAAAAATGAGGGGGCTGTAAAGAACAACTTTGTAGACCGGCCATTTCACGCAGGTGCTAATAAATTAATGGGATAAATTCCTGGAAGTGGAAATGCAGAATCGTAAAGTATATGAGGTTTTGATTCTGACAGTCCAGCCAAATGGCCCTCAACACCTGCTTTCTAAAAGGCGTTGGTGTCCTCAACACCAGCTTCCTAAAAGGCACCTGGGACATGGCAAGCTCCTGCTTCCCCTGCATTTCTTCCGTTTCTCCCTACTGATCTTCAAGACCTTTCACCATCTAGACCTGTGCTAACCAACGTGTGCCATTAGCCACATGGAACTCTCCCAGCACTTGAAATGTGGCTAGTTCCAACCAAGATATGCTCTAAGTGTGACATAAACTGGATTGCAAAAACTTAGTAAGACAAAAAGAATGTCAAATATTTCACAGGTTTTTAACATTGATTACATGTTGAAATGATTAAATTTAGGACATGTGTTAAATAAATAACATACCATCAAAATTAAGTTCACCTGTTACACTGTTGAAACTATGGCTACTACATTTTTGGAAATTACATATGTGGCTTCCACGGTATTACTGTTGGACAGCACCGATCCAGACGCTTCTGTCATGTCCCTCACTCAGCGTCAGGAAGGCCTCAGAGCTCCCTCTGCGCCTCAGAGCGCAGCAGCCCTGCAGGCTCAGCCGCTCTCTGCTCTCCCCTCCCCTCACCCCCGCGCTCTCTTACTGAGAAGCTACTTCAAACTTCCTCCCGCAGGCCGCGAGAGATGTGCCTCTCCAGTCACAAGTCCCGGGCCTTCACCAGCCCTTGCGCCGCGGCCTCCCTCAGCCCTTCCCCTCCCTCACGGGGCGCGCGCAGCCCAGTTCTGTTGGCCAAACCAGGAAAGGGGACAGAAAACGTCGAGCCAGCGGGAGGTAACGGGTGAAAAGTCAACAAATTCAAGTTTTTTTTAAACGCAGGTGACGTTTAAGCTGAATCCGGCTTGTGAATTACATACTCGCGGCAAACAATTAAGAAGGAAAGGATCACAGAGGCAGAAGAAACTTACTTGCGTTGACTGCACAGCCGGCCGCTCCGCACCTCGCCGGGGCGCCCTGCGCGGGTCTGCGCGCGGCGCGGGGGCGCGGCGGTGTCGGGAGCCCGCGGGACCTGGACCCACCCCGAGGACGGCGGCGGCGCCAGCGGGGCTCTGCCGGGAACCCGAGGGATCGCCAAGAAAGCGAAACTGAAACTTTGCGGCCGAGGCGGCGGGGCGGGCCGCTCACCCGGGGCGGTTCTGCCTCAGCCTCGCCCAGAGCCCGGCCGCCGCGCCCGCCGGACCCCGACAGCCATGGCCTCGAACCCGGGTCCGCCGTCGCCGCTGCTCGTGCGGGTGTCCGAGCCCGGCCTGCGGCTACATCGGAAGCTGGAAAGCTACTTCCAGAGCCGGGCCTCGGGCGGCGGGGAGTGCACCGTCCGGCCCCTTGAGACCAAACTGGAAACTTATCGGGTGGAGTTCAGGGAAAGGGCAGGTGAGCTGCGTCTGGGGTGAAAAGGCCTTTTACTGGGGCCCAGACCCGCGGGCTTCCAGGCTGACCCTGTTCGCTCTGACCTAGGAGAGAGTGGGGGGGCGCATGGCACCATGTGGCTAGCAGCAGGAATGGCGGTGGGGTGGGGAGGCTTGTGCTGGAGGCAGGCTCTGGCAGCCTAGAAACTCGGCCCCCACCGAGGAGGAAGCCTGGCTGACTGTGCCTGCAAGTTGACTTCCTGTTGTACAGTCTCCTGGCTCATATTTCTTTTTCTTTTTTAAAGATTTATTTATTTATGCATACAAGAGCTGAGGTACCGGCCAGAGGTGTGTGTGGGGGGGTGTGTGTGTGTGGGGTGTGTGTGTGTGTGTGACAGGATTCACCAGAGACAGCGTGGGGAACAGAACAGGCAGATTGACCGAAGTACACTGCTGAGGGAGCAGCAGGCAAGCCAGGAGAGGTCAGCCGCACCAGCCTGGGGATCGAACTCGTGCAGCTGTCACTGTGGACAGCTTCATAGGTTGTGTCTTAACCCCTTGCGCCACCAGGGAGGACCCCTGGCTCGTATTTCTAAGATCTCAGAACATCTTTCCCTCCCCCGAAGCTCTGCCAGCTCTTGTTATTTAGAAATTCCACTGTTATGTTTTAGATAATTGTTCCATTAATTTATTTCTGAAAATTACAAAAGCAATTTATGCTTACTAGAAAAAAGAGACAGGAAGGAAGAAAACCAGATGGCGATAATATTTTTTGAATATTTTTGTTTTTTTGAATATTTCTAGCCTTTTTTTAATGAATGCAGTAAATACGCAGGAATATTTACAGAATTCTAGGTCTGCACTTTTGATTCCTGTTTTTTGTACTTAACTCTATATAATGAATATTATTCCATATCATTGAACTGGGAAACCATGACAGTTTCAGAAACATGACTTTTAATGAGTGGACAGTGTTCCATTATCATTAAGCATTGTTTATACAGTAAAACTTCAGAGTCTTGATCTAGTATCCTCTGTCATCAAGCAACCTTTCCAGGACATAGGCTGGAGACCGTTAGTGCTGGGCCAGGAAGTGAATACATAAATAAGAAGATTATTTGCAATATCTCCTATTTCTATGTGTTTGTTTAATGTCTACTGAAGATAAGGAAAGAGTGTTGAAAAAAGGAGAGCACCATATTACAGTTGACGATAAAGAAGTGAATATTTTCCTGGAATCTACTGTAAATCCAGTAAAGGAGAATACCAGACCCAAAAAATCTTCACTGACACAGTCACAAGAAAGTGTGACGTCTAGAGAGAAGCATGTAAGTGGAGAATGCCGTCCTAGTGCTATAGATTCCTATGTCCAAAAGGTAAGTATTGAAAGCAGGTGGGTATGTCCTCATAACTTCCTTTCCAGTCATCATACCTTTTATTATTGATCCAAGGTCCTTTTGCACAGGCCTTTAATTATGAACCAGGCATTGTTTTAGGTACTGGGACATGAGGGGATTATAATATACCAGGTCCCTGGTGGCAGTGGGGATGGGGGATTTACATAGAAAGACAATAAGTTAATAAAGCAACTTAAGAGTGTGTGTGCTAAGTAGAAAATATAATGGGGGGTTGCTTTAGAGAGTAACAGGACCAGAGTAGAAAATATAATGGAGGTTTGTTTTAGCGACGACAGGACCAGGGCACAGACGTGCTGCTACTTCTTACCAGAAGTCAGAAACAACTTCTTGGAGGTGCCACTTGGTCTGAGACCAGAATGATGGAAGGAGCCAGCCAGCAGAGTCATACAATAAAACAGTATCAACTGCCTACTGTATATATGTGCCTGGCACTGTCAAAGGACCTGGGGTAACAGCCAGGAACAGAGCAGACTATGCCCCCAGGGACCATACATTCTAGTGAAGGAAACACAATAATAGTGAACAAGTGGATATATACTAAAATGTCTACCTGTGGTAAGTGTTAAAAAGGAGAATATAGCAGGATAAAAGACAGTGACTGCACTACTATTTTAAATAGGCTATTATGAAAAACCTCAAATGAAGTGACATATCTCTAGTAGAGATATGCAGAAGTAAGGGAGTGGATTTCTGAGGGAAGAATGTTCTAGGCAGAGAGATATTTAAGTGCAAATGTGCACTTCCTTCCCAGACAGAATCTTACCTCCTGAATCCTGAGGGATTCCGGCCAGTGTGACTGGAGGGCAGTGAGCAAGGGAGAGTGATAGAAGAAAAACTTGGGGAAGTACTCCAAATTTCAGATCTTTAGGACCTGAAACTGAAGATATTAGATTTTAACTAAAGTGGGGATTTATCAGATGATTTTTGAGCCAGTTCAGTGCAGTGATCAGATTTACATTTCCAGAGGACCTTCCTGGCTGCTTTCTGGAGAACTCCAAGTTGGAAGGGGCTAGAGGGGAAAGTCAGCACCCAGTTAGGAGGGGTTCAGTGGGTCAGGTACAAGATGATAGTGGCTTGGACTTGCAGTGGTTCTGATGGAGGTATAAGAAGTATCTGGATTCAGGAAACATTTTGAAGGCAGATCTAGAGAAAGGATGTTACCTGCAGAGGAAATAGTATGTGCAAAATCCTTGCTTGAGAGGGAACAGAACATTAGAACTTGGTTTTATATTATATTCAATTTGCCTCTGTTCTTTGTACCTAATTTCATGTGTCTATTTTATGTTTGAACTAAAGGTCAGAGTTTCCAGGGCCTGGCAACATTGTGTGCAGCTAGGTGTTTAGTTAATAAATGATGATGGTGATGATAAATGGAAGGGCTGAAGAAGATATAAAATAGTAATGGGGAAAAACTTCCTCAGATTTGTGTCTCCCTGCCAGGTTCACACTACTGCAGCTTGCCTAGAAAGTGGAGTACCTTCCACCTACCCCGTTCTCCAAGACCAATCAGATAGTGGCAGTTCCAGAACCCAGACATCTTGTCCAAAGATTTTTTTTTTTATTATGCTCATGCCCAGGCTCTTAGATCAGAATCTCTGGGATGTGCCTGAGCCTTGGCTTTTTTTTTTTTTTTTTTTTTTGTGGGACCCTCGCCGGCGGCTGGGGAACAAACAGGTGCTACAAAGGCACAGGCAGCCTCGGCAGTCCAGTGCTCAACCGCTGCGCCACCAGGGGAGGACCGGTTTTTTATCCCCATCCCCCAAGTGATTCTAACATGCAGACAGGGCTTGGAGCCTCTGGGCTATAACATGCTGTATCCCCTGCAAAAAGGAAGAGAGAAGGTGCCACTTTGCTAAGGGGAGACACAGTGGTAGTTTCTCTGGTCTCTAGACAGTCTCCCGAAAGGAGACCTTAGGCCTGGATATCTGAAAGATTTTCTTTATTTCTTTCAAAATTTCAGATCTTTCTTACCGTCACAGCTGAACTGAACTGCGAGCTAGTCTCTGAAGAGCAGAGGGAACGCATAACCACTCTTTATCCCAATATTGAAAGAATCAAGGATGACAATGGGATTGAGAAGCTGTGTGGTGACTTCAGAGACATTGAAAATATACATTGCTTCTTAAATGACCAACTCCTGGAAAATGAGCACAAACAGGAATCTGCTTTGACAAGGGAGAGGGCGCCTCTCCACCAGCAGGCCTGGGACAGCAGTATTTCTCCCTCTGAATCAAAAGCCAAGTCAGATGAAAACCATTTGAAAGTTCCCTCACCTTACTTTGAGTATTTCGTACATAACTGTCCTGGTACAATAGATTCAATAGAGAAGAAATTTGGTGTCAAGATGAAAACTCAGGACAGTTCTCTGTCTGTGAATATGGTCTGTGTAGACTTCACTTCAGATAAGTCGGGTGACCGCGAAGGAGCTCTCAAGTGTTTTACCAGTGAATTTCAGAAGATTGTAGGAAATCTGGAGCCAAGTTCCCTTTTAGCAGGCAGTAAGCAGGCAAATAAAATCAAACAGGAATTGAATCACCAGTTAACAAATTTCCCTATAAAGGAGAAAGAAAAGGAACTAACTCTGTCTACGATCCAACATGACATGTCAGCTGCCAAACATTTTCTTGTCCCCCAAACCTTTAAAGGTCTTACCAAGGTACCAGTGAAAATATCACCTCCTGGGTACATGATGAGTGGAATTAGAGTTGACACTGCTCACTATAAGCTTTTAAAACCTGAATTACTCCAGGAGATATCAGAGATAGAACAAAAGTACGACATTCAATATCAAGTTATTGAGAATGGTCAGGAAACCTCCATTCTGTTTGAACCCAGGCACAGGGACTTAGACCTGTCTGTGCACGCTTATGAAGCTTTCATCGATGTCTATCAACAGGTCTCATGTCAGCTGACGAGAGAAGTTCTTTCACTGAAATCTTGGGGCAAAGAGAGAGAGCGCTTACATGGAACTAGGTTCACTGATGACTTTAGAAAAAAGCATCCACATACATACTCTCACATAACCCCAGAGATAATGACTTTGATTGGGTTGCCAAAACTCCTTGCAGAGGCAAAGCAGTATGTTTTAAAAAAATTGGGAATGTCTCCATTAGCCGGAGAGAAACAGAATGAAGACCATGAAACACCCATGGATGTCGATAGTAATGACTCAAAAACAGCTTCACCAACATTCCTGCCTTCTGCCAGTGCAGGGCCTGCGGGAACAGACAAGAAAAAGGACTACTGTGTCATCTGTATGGACACTATTAGTGACAAAGAAGTGCTGTCAAAATGTAAGCATGAGTTCTGCGCCCCTTGTATCCAGAAGGCCATGAAAGATAAGCCGGTCTGTCCTGTGTGCCAGGTTAGCTACGGTCTCCAGAAAGGAAATCAGCCAGACGGAACCATGGCTATCACTATCGCAAAACAATCACTTCCAGGTTATGAATTCTGTAACACCATTGTGATTACTTATACTATGGAAGGAGGCATACAAACAGTAAGTATTTCTGAAAATTCGTGGGTTTCTTTCCACAATTTTAGGATTACCAGGGCAATATTCTGCTCCCATTTAGATAGTGGATTGCCCAGGATAATGATTGTTTCTTGTAACTTAAGTTATCTTTTGTGTCTATTAAGGTAGTCATATGATGGTAACTATGTATTAAGGTAGGGGGAGAGAGAAAGGTGAATAATGTTCTCAGCATGAATTTTGGGAAAGAAGAAAAATATGAGTTATTGGGACTATAAACAAATCTTCACTTTTTTTTACTTGTTCTGTCTGCATGTGAACACATCTATACGTAAATACATACATATTATATACAGGTGTACTTACATGTATTTACCATATATAGTAAAATTTAGATGAGGATTGTTTTCATGTGACATTTTCTTGTTTTCATACAGAAAGAACACCCAAATCCAGGAGTGAGCTATCCTGGAGTACGGCGAGTTGCATACTTGCCAGATAATGAAGAAGGAAATAAGGTTTTGAAACTGCTTCAAAGGGCTTTTAAACAAAAACTGATTTTCACAGTGGGGTATTCTCGAACACAAGGTCTCCCAAATGTCATTACATGGAATGATATCCACCATAAGACGAACCGTTTTGGGGGACCAGAAGGGTGAGAACCTTTTGAAACATATTGGATGCTAAACAGAATTTAGAAAAACAACTGTGATAATTTGAGGATGTGGCTATAAGGAGACTGTTTACAGCAATAGGATTGGATACAGTTAAGTATTTTGAGGGATGCTAATCTGGGTTGATAATAAAGGGAGAAAGAAATAAAGGGAGAAAGATTTAGTCCTATCACCTGCTCTCTCAACCACAGAGTATCAGAGTGACTAAATTTCGCATCAAAGGGCAGGAGTTTTCAGAATTCAAGTTGAATGGAATCCAAGATGATTTAATATGGGGTTTCATTCTATTTGAAGGGAAGATCCTCAGAATGTTGTTTGCTTTGTCTTTTAAGATCACCCTTCTGCCCTCTTCTCCCATGGGTTCATAGAAATCCTAAAATCACTAGGCAATTGTATGGGGAATATAAAAATAAATTTATTATTTAAAAAAAAATCACTAGGTCAGCAATACTCTAGGAAAAAGTCTTAGTTAATGGTGCTGGAAGTTGAATCATATTCAATCCAGTTCTCTATGAAACTCAGAACACTTCAGACCCTTAGTATTCAAAAGGTAATATATCCTGAGACTTCTGCAAATTACGCAAATTCAAAAATCCTCCTATAACACTATTACTGCCCATGAAGTATAGTGTAATATAACTTTATGAGAGGCACTACTTACTAAGAGCTGAAAATAAAGTCTTGCTGGAAGGCAGATCCTGGGCAGAGAGCTAGGCTCGGGATCTAGCTAAATGACTTCGTTCTGCACACTTATAAGTGATTTTAAGTCATTCATCTTCAGAATTGCTTGTGAATGTTTGCAACACTGAATGTTAATACCAAGGCATCTGCTTTATAGAGTCTTTAAAACCATTTGTGTTGAAGCTAAGGAGCATTTTCCTTTTGCAGATATGGCTACCCTGATCCTGGTTATCTGAAACGTGTCAAACAGGAGCTGAAAGATAAAGGTATTGAATAAGGAGAATGCTGGAAGGGTATCTTGATCCAAGCTTTCAAATGACACAGTTGAATAAGTAAACACCAATTTAAATTGTTACGTAGACAAGACAATGTTTTAAAAGTTTTCATCTGTTAAAGAAGTGGTATGTGTGAGAATCTACTAGTTTGCTATTTCTACAGTATTGCTTTTTATGGAAGATAAAAGCCTCTAAATATCTGTGTAATTTTGACAAGGAGGTGTTGAGCCTTGTTCTTGTATCATTGTGGGAGGTGGTTATCTATGGGTCTGAAATCTTCTATATTCTAGCTGCCAAATATTCCTCTTTATTACAATCTCTGGGATGGTCCTTTAGTTTTTGTTTGTTTGCTCTTTAATCTCCACCCTAAAATAAAATCTTAGTGTGAAAGAGGGGTGAGGGAAAGCTTTGGTAATGAAAAATCTGAGATCCACTTTTCCTTCGTCCCGTGGCTAGAAATGTAGCTAGGAGCAGAGTTTGGGCAACCATTGGTAATAAAAGGAATAAGACTATTCTTTTTCAAGACAAAGATACTGGTATATAGTTGGTGCTTAATAAAGTTTTGTAAATAAGGATGGTTAATAACCCAGCATAGAGATACATGCTCCCTAAATCTTTGGCAAAACGAGTAAGGAAGCCATTTCTGAAGTCAACAGTGATTTGGAAAACTGAGTTTCTTACTACAAAATACTTGGCTTATGAACTAGCCAAGTCTCTAACTGGTCCTTGCTTCTCAATCCTTATAAGCTGCCATATGAGAGGCACTTGCCCCAGCATTGTAATGTTACACATTTCTGAACATTTTTTTCCCTTCTGGATATTTTGGTATTTTTTTAATTTATCCTGCTTCCAGTTTTAGCTAATAAGTAACGTCAGTTTACCATAGACTGTCATTTTCTCAGTAACTATAGACCTCACAGTAGTTTTTCCTAAATCCAGCAATGTCTTGTTTTCGCCCTTAAATCATTTTCTCTGATACTCTCTTTTGACAGAGAAAAGGCAAGAATTGAATCTACTATAAGGGATACATAACAAACATATCAAAAATTCAAATTGTTCTCTCAATCAGAAGAAAGTCTTAGTAGCAAATTATCTGATTATCCATATACTAGTCTCTCTCCAAAAATGGCAAATGAGATGTCTTTATTTTCCTAAAGGTGTACATAGCACTTATGCAAGTTTTAGGCTTAGATAATAATGGATAATGTTTACTGTGTACTTTTTATGAAAACTTCATACCTATGTGATTGATACGATTAGCATCCCCTTTTTATAGCTGACAAAACTGAGCACAGGGAGGATAAGCACCCAGACAAAGGTCACAGAGTTAATAAGTAGAAATGCTAGGGTTTGAAGTGTAGTCTGACTCCAGGACGTCTGCATCCCAGAAGCTATTCTGTACCCCAGAAACTGTACTTCCCCATGAAGTAGGCTGAGGAATCCCATTATTCTGGGCTTCTCTCAGAAATGGATTCCTATGCAAAGCAGTTTTCTTCCAAGAAAGTCCTGTTTGAAGAACTTAAAAACCCAGAATCTATTTCTTTGTCCAGAGTTGAAGATTATGCATTTAACTTACCACGAATATTCATTAAAGTCATTATAGTTATGGTTCATTTGTATTTGCTGGTCTTTGAGCTAAATTTGCTTCAAAAAAGCAAAAGTTTGGTTCTTACTAAGTTCTGAATCCCTCATTACAATGTGGATGCAAGTTTCGTGGTGTGAATTGGCTGTGAACCGTTGGATAACTTCTCATGCTCTGTGGAAGATATATCATCTCTTTCTGCCTTAAATAAAGTCATATCCTTACTGTGAACAGATTGTCTATGTTCTTTTCTAACTCCATTTTTTCCTTTAGGTTGAGATTGTGGCTATTTCCTACAATATAGTGTACATATGTCATGTGTGCCAACATCTTTTATTTTTTACATTTGAAAAGGCCAAGTTTATTAGGAAAAGGGAAGCAGAAGATACTTGCATAGACACAGCAGGCAGAATGAGCTACCATGTGCCAACATCTGTGCTTGATTTTGTGTGTACTTATCTTATTGGACAGGGTAAGGGGCACCTCAGAATCCCCAAACCTACCCTTTCTAAATAGGTTCTGCCATCTGCCATATCAAGACATAACATATAAGACCATTATTTATTTTTTTAAAAGATTTTATTTATTTATGCATACTAGAACTTGGGTAGGCCAGAGGTGTGGGGGGTGAAAGGATTCATCAGAGACAGAGTGGGGAGCAGAACAGGCAGACCGACTGAAATATACTGCTGAGGGGAGCAGTGAGTGAGAAAGGAGAGGTGTGCTGTGCCATGTGGGTCAGCAACCTGGCCAGGGATTGAACTCACGCCGAGCTCATGCCCCGGTGACTGGCGATAGCTTGATAGTGCTGATTTTAACCCCTGCACCACCAGAGAGGCCCTAGACCTTTAATGGAAAGAAACTTTAATCAATTAGTGTGCCACAAAGAAAGGGGGAAGAATAAAGTTTCCAAATCAAGCACCCAAAGTTACCCATCCCTCAATAGGTAAATGTCCAGTCAGACAGGGTTGGCCCAAAGCAAGGCCATTGAGGCCTGAAAACCAGCCATAAGTCTAAGGCACCTTCCAGCGGGGACCCATAGAAAAGGGTCTGAAACAACCAGACAAGTCTGGAAGGAAAAGAGCAAAATCAAAATCAAGAGAAAAGCTGCCATTGTTAACTTTCCCGCAGATCTCTCACCCACATCTGTTTCAACCAGTCCAAGGCCGAGAAGCAAGTGTAGCTTCTTCACATGTCTCACTGCTCCATGTGCCTCCTTCAGGACTCCTTCTGGCTCTCCACCCTGCTTCCTTCCTTCCCCAGTCTCCTCTCCAGCTTCTTCTCCTCCCTGCTCAGCTCCATCCTCTCATGGGTGGGGCAGGGAACCTGGAACCTCCCCTTTTCTTGGGGACCACCCTGTTACAGTTACTTGCTTAACTACAATAGAACTTAGCTATCATTGTCCTCATTGCTAGCCACCTTCAGTTGTGAAAGTCACATTTCTTAATATTTTCCCCCTCAACACAGACTGCTGACTTCAAATAAAAAACAGTTATTTCACCAACAAAATGGGTTTTGTTTGTTTATTCAGAAATAAGGGAAAAGACGTTTGGGAAAGTACAGTCTCAAGGCAAGACACACATGCACCTCCCCAAACGAAAGCTTCCTTATACAGCCTATGGAGCTGCTGCTGCTGGAGAACATCCTTTCTTCACCCGGGGCAGGGAAGCAACATCATTTCCTGTAAGAGATGCAGGTCACGCTGGGTCCTGTTGTTTGCTGACTGTGCATGTGTAGGCACCCTCTACTAGCTCCCTGGCCCCTATTTAAATAGGGGTTCTGCAGTTACTACAAAAATATATCAGATACTACAAAAGTAAAAGTAGATTGCAGGTTTCATCTCTCCTAGAGAAAGCATTTGCAATACTCTACCAAATTAACACTTACCCCTCCTTATTCCTAGAGGTTCTGTTTCACCTCTCCAGCATCAGTGGTGGATCACCTACAAAGCTTTTTGGACACCAGCAAAGTCAGGACACTTCTTTCCAAAGGAAAAAGAGTATTGGAATTAATACCGAGGTATATTTGCTGTTTCCCTAAAGATAGTAAATTTCTATGCCCAATTCCAATATGTTCCCTGCCCCACCACTCCGGCCCCATACAGTCAAGTAATTGTCCAATACCATTTGGGTGTCCTACAATTCAACTCAACTCTGAGACTATCTCCCCACTGGAGATAGCATCAGATTCCACAGGTTAAGAATCCAGTCCCACAAGACCCCCAGCTTAGGATGCCAATTGCAAGTCCAAATTGTTACCTATGCTTCTGGTTACTTGGCTATAAATCAGAGTTCCATGATCCCCTCCTTGAGTTTGATTTGATCTGTGATATTAATTAGCTCACAGAACGTAAGAGACCAGTTTATTCACTTGATTACCAGTTTATTATAAAAGGATATAACATGAATTATTAGATAAAAAAGCACAGAAAGGGAAAGGCCTTAAAGCTTCCATGTCCTTTCTTCCCCAAATCTCCAACTGGGAAGCTGTCTGAACTCCCTCCCATTGCGTTTTTTTGTGGGAGCTTCATTACCAGCACAATTGATTAAATCATTGACCAATAACAATTGAATCTCCAGCCCCTCAACTCTCCCCAGATGTCAGGGGGTGGGAATGAAAGTTCCAACTCTCATAATCAATAATGGATTCCTTCAAGCCAGCAGCTCCCCTCTGACTTATCATAACAAGATATCTTTTATAGTTGTCAATATTTAGGAAATCCAACAGTTTTAGATACTTTGTCTGCCAGCAACAGAGATGAAGGACAAATTTATATTTCTTATTATAAATCATAGCATCAAAGATAACATCATAGCAGTCGTTAGGAGAAAAAGCAAACCTTTGCTGGACTTCATTACACTTAGCCTACGATTTAGTTTTGGTTTATGCTTGCTTTGATTTCCATATGGAAGTTGGGCACTATTTCCTTTTGATTGGGTCCTGAGCCTTTTAAAACAAAGCTTTGCAAAGATCATGATATTAACAATCTGTTTGAGACATGTAAGCTCAGGTCAGTGAAGGTGAGGACAAACTAAAAGGCAAGCAAGACAAAGTAATGTGCTTTTGCTCTGGCCACTGCTTTCACAAAGACACTTGAAAAGGTACAGCAAGTCACTCAGCACCTTTATTTGCTTAGCACAAGAGCTGAAAAGAACTGCAGAAATCACCTTGTTTAAGTGCCTTATTTTATAGAGAGGAAAACTCAGTTTTATTCCCTGGGAAAACAACAAAGTTAAATATATTCCATTTCTAGCACATTAAAATGTACCTTTAGTGGCACATTTGGCTTCTCCCTCTCTTACATCCTGAATATCCACGTCACCAGCCCTGTGTTGGGGCACAGGCAAACATTCTCCTGCCCTCTGTATTTTTCTGTGCTAATCTGTCTGAAAATAAAAACAAATTTAATAATGTACACATTGAGAATTTATTTGGCCATAAATACTAAAGTAAATGGAACAGACCAGAGATTTATAACCTGTGTTGAGGAACAGGATTGAGGTCTGAAATATTGAAAATAGAGGAAGTAGCTCTCACATGATAAGGTGGCAATGACTTCCTATGACAAAACCTTATCTCCAGATGTTTGCCCTGCTTTAAGATAGGTTTCTTTGATAGAAAGGTTACTTCTGGAGAGATCCCTAAATCTAGGTAATCTACACTCTTTAAGGCTATGGTAACAGTTTCTCCAGAGGCCCTCAGGGTCTTGATTGACCCTGGTTCCACATTCCAAGGTGGTGGCTATTAAGAAAAAGCTCTGTGTATCTTGGCAAAAGCTTATCTGAATATTTGAGGGAAGGATGATCCTTCTCTTCCTTTGCTTTAAATTCTTACTGTCCAGATGGCATCGTCATAGTTCTTTCATCAGAATGATTAAAATACCCTCTAGAAACACTCTGTGTCCCATCCCCCTCAACCTCCGACCTCAAACTACATTTTGAAAATACAGCTCTGATCTCACCACCCCTCTGATGACAGGTCCTCAGTGACTCTCTGATAACTAGAGCAAAGCTTTTCAAACTCAATCTATGTCGGATTCACTAGAAGGACTAATAAAACAGATTGCTGGGAACCATCCTCAGAGTTTTTGACCCCATAGGAGTGGGATTGGACCCAAGAATGTGCGTATCTAACAAATTCCCAGGTGCTGCTGCTGTTGTAGTCTGGGGACCACATTTGGAGTCCCATTGGCCTAGAAAACAAGGCTCAGTCTCCAGAGCATGGCCATCATGGTGCTCTCTTTCTACTTTGCTTACTTTACACCCTTTCCTCCCTAACAAGCCCCTATGGTCCAGTCACATCAGACTATCAGTTTTTCCAAACCAGTCTATGTTTGCATATTTCTGGCCTTTGCTCTGTTCTTTCTCTCTGAAATGTCCCTTCATTCTCCTCTTAGAAATCTACTCATTGGTCAAGTTCTCACTCAGATGACACTACTGTATAACACCTTTCTTCCAATCTTGTCTCCAAATTATGAATAACTTATTTCTATGTATTCCTGATAGTTTATATGTATCTAGTCATGCAGATGGGATGTCACAATCCACTTTCCCTGCTTTCTACATTGGGGTGTGCTGGGCACTATAAAAAGAGACACAAGTGAAGACATTTTTAAATGGGGCCAGAGAGGTTGCAGTACAAAATGGCTTACTTTCTTGTTTGAAAGGGCCAAAGTCCTTTGGAATCTGGCCATTGCTTCCTGAGCTGTTGTTTGAGAAACCAGAAGGAGAATAGATATCCTGATCACAAGTGCTGATGCTCATGGACTTTTTTGGTGGATAGAGTCAATACCCAATTATGTATAACCAAGAAGAGTTTAACACTATTAATTCTTTTCTTCAACCACTTATTACCTCAGCTTCCTATTTTCTTCCTGTAAGAACCTCCAAATTTTACCTTGTTAGGGCACATTTGCAATTTCTACAAGAGATTGTGTAATTCCCCAAATAAATGCTTGATTGCCTCTCATTTCAGCTCTTTATTTTTAGCTTAACAGAGCTGACCTCTAAGTAATGCACCAGGTCCATTCTTGTGCCGTCTCATGGCTGATTGGCATCAACAATGGGAGGTACCAGTAAGAGACTGGAGAGTAAGGAGAGATTGGGGTTCTATTCCCGTTGCTGTCTCCCCAAAGCAGCAATGGCTTATATTGAATAGACTCTCCTAGAGGTATGGTGCTTACCAGGGTCAGTCCATGCCCTTTCAGCCTAGATGGCAAGGATAAGTACTTTTTTCTTGGGGGGAATGTGTCACGAATTCTCACTGTTTCCCTTTACTCATTGCCCACCTTATATTTAGGTAATTCCTTTATTAAACTCTCTTGAATTGCCCACTTTGAGAATATCCACATATATCCTGTCAAGACCTTTCATGATGCACCAGGTAAATATGTATTGGTCAGTTTTTGTTTCTCCTTCTTCTTACTTCCACTCTCACTCCAGACAGAAGAGATCTGTGTCTAATTCATCTCTATAATCTTAACTTAATGCCAGGCATATTTAGGGCCCTCAATACATGTTGGTTGAATTAAATAATGTCTGTTAGACTGGAGGGGAACAGCTTGTTCCATCTTGAAGAGACTTGAAGAAGATCAAGTATATTTTTCTGAAGTCTCCCTGTTTAGGGACCAGTTTGTAGTCTAGACTAGCTATAGCTATGCCCCATTATGAGATTGAATTCACTTAGGTTATACATCTAGTGAACTGCAGAGCCCAGGGTTTTGTTTTGTTTTGTTTTGTTTTGTTTTTAAAGATTTATTTATTTATGCATACGAGAACTGGGGTACAGGCCAGAGGTGTGGGGGGTGAGAGGATTCACCAGACAGAGTAGGGAACAGAACAGGAAGACTGACTGAAATACACTGATGAGGAGAGCAGCGGGTGAGTTAGGAGAGGTCTGCTGTGCCATGTGGGTAGCTCCCTGGTCGGAGATAGAACTCATGTTGCAGTGGCTGCAAACAGCTTCAGAGGTTGCTTCTTAACCCTTTGCGCCACCAGGGAGGCCCCAGAGCCTAGGGTTTTAATCTCAGAATTTATCAGACCTAATCCTGAGGCAACTATTTGCTGACAACAACCTTCATTCAGTCTAAAGGTTTTTATGGAAAAGAAAGTGAAAGATAAAGGCAACTTCCTGTTAGGTGGAGGCTGGCTAGGGGAGCAGAAGGTGACTGAACTGGCCTCAGGTTGCTGGTCTAAGAGTTCTGGGACCCTCAGGTCCAACCCCACAAAGAGCTTGTGCACCAAGTTGCAGTGAACTTCCAGAGCGAGAAGAGTTCCCGTCAGGAGGTAGAAGCCGGGAGCTGCCCTGCTTCCTAGTGCTCTTCCTTGGAGAGGATGGTGAGACAAACCAGGGTGGGGCACCCAGTGGCTGGGCACAGAGACCTTAAATCTCTCAGAACTCTCTCTTGTTGGGAGGTGTTTATCGCCTTGACTTTTCCCAGAAGAGTGGAGTTGGGGGGAGCGGATTTTTTTCCCATGGAAGTGGTACTTTCTTTCCTCTCAGATTTTAAAATTCCTTACAAATTAGGAATAATAGTCCTATATGTGTAATATAATGAATATTTCTTTTCAGTCTGCCATTTATCTTATTAATTTGCTATAGTGTTTTTTTGCAATTCAAATTTTTTTATTATTTATTTATTTTTTTAAAGATTTATTTATGCATACAAGAGCTGGGGTGTAGGCCAGAGGTACAAGGTGGGGGTGGTGGTGAGCGGATTCATCAGAGACAGAATGGGGAACAGAGCAGTCAGATTGACTGAAATAAATACACTGCTGAGGGGAGAAGCGGGTAAGACAGGAGAGGTCTGCTGGGCCATGTGGGTAGCTCCCTGATGGGGAATTGAACTCATGCTGCATTGGCTGTGGATAGCTTCTTATTGCTGAGACTTAACCCCTTGCGCCACCAGGGAGACCCTAATGCTTTTTATTTTGATGTAATAAAATTTATCAGTCTTTCATTTATTGTCTCTGAACTCTTAGGCATATTTTATTTTATTTTTTAAAAAGATTTATTTATTTATGCATATAAAAACTGGGGTTCAGGCCAGAGGGGTGGTGGTGAGAGGATTCACCAAAGACAGAATGGGGAGCAGAACAGGCAGATTGACTGAAATACACTGCTGAGGGGAGCAGCAGGTGAGACAGGAGAGGTCTGCTGCGCCATGTGGGTCACCTCCCTGGCCAAGGGATCCAACTCATGTTGCAGTGGCAGCAGATAGCTTCATAGTGCTGCGGCTTAGCCCCTTGCACCATCGGGGAGCCACACCCAGATTGTAGTCACTCTTGCTTTTTTCTATATCTAATGTTTTTTTTTTTAATATTTATATCTTTGGTACATTTGGAGTTTATTCTTGTGTGTGATTTGATAAATGGATCTAATTGCACCTTTTTTTCTGAATGGGTATCCACATTTGTATCTCTGGGAATACTTAATAAATCCCAGCACTATGATGTGTTAAGAAGATTATCATTGCCTAAGTTCCATCACATTGACCTGTTTATTCATCTGTTTTAAAGCCGTGCTGTGGTATATTTTAATGTGAAGACTAGTCCCCTACAGAATTCTTCCTTCTCAATGTTTTTCTAGCTTTTCTTGTATGCTTACCTTTTCTTATGAACTTTAGAATTAGATTTTAATTTATGATCCATGTAGAAAAAAAGTCTCACTGTGATTGCATTAAATTTGTGAATAAAGCTGTAGAGATGACATCATCAGATGGTGTTGAGGTGTTCTAACCAAGAACAAAGGATGCCAATTCAAGTCTACTGGTGCATTTTCACAGAGTGCTTATAATTTTCTTACATTTCTTTTCCTGCTAATGTAAGTGAGTTTTCCTCATTCACTATATCTTCTAATTGTTTTTTTAAAGATTTATTTATTTATTTATTTATTTATTTATTTATTTATTTATTTATTTATTTATACAAGAATCAGGGTATAGGCCAGATGCGCGGGAGGGTGAGAGGATTCACTAGAGACAGCAGGGAACAGAACAGGCAGATTGACGAAATACACTGCTGAGGGGAGCAGTGGGTGAGATAGGAGAGGTCTGCCACGCCATGTGGGACCCTCGCTGGCTGGCCGGGATCGAACCGGTGCTACAGAGCCTGTGGACAGCTTCATAGCATGGAGCTCAACAGCCTGCGCCACCAAGGGAGGCCCTCTTCCAATTATTTTATGAATGCTATTGACTTTTCCTTTCATTTAAAAAGTTAAGATATAATTTACATACAGCAAATTCACACTTATTAGTGTACAATCCTGTGGGTTTTACAAACATGTGTACAATTGTGTAACAGCCATGAGATAAAAATATATGAAAAAAGTTCCATCAACTCTCCTAAATTCCCAATAGTTCCCTTGTAAAAAAACTCTTCACTCAAGGTGAGTTTCCAGCAAACACTGGTCAGATTTTCTCCCTCTGATTTTTGCATGTCATATAAGGACAACCATATAGTACAGTCTTTTGTGTGTTACTTCCCTCATTTAATGTAATGCAGTTAGGATTTGTCAATGTGATTCCATAGTAGTTAAAGAAAATACTTTGTGTTATTTGAATCATTTTAAATTTATAAATTGAAATTTATTTTCATGGTTCATTATGGGCTATATATACATATGTGTATGTGTATAAATGTGTATGTATATACATATTGTAATTTGAGAGTGTCCCAAGGCTCGCTGATTCTCTACTCATTATTTTCTCAAACTCTTTTTTATCTTATTTTGTATAGTTACTATTGTCTTAAATTCACTAGTTATTTTCTTTCTTCAACATCTAGTTATCCTGTTTGTTACATTTTTCACCCCAAACATTGTATTTTTCCTCTACAGAAGTTTGCTTTGGTTCTCCTTCATATTGTCTCTATTAATTATAAACTTGCCTGACTTTACATTCTGGAAAGTATGCAACATCATTATAATTATTGTTTTAGTAGTCATATCTTCTATTTTTATCATTTGCATATGATAACTTCACGTTAATATGACAGTGTTCATGGTTTTTCCTCAGACTTATTAATGTGCTATATTGTATAAATTACTTTTCTAATATTGGCCCATCCTTAATTTCTTTGCCTTTTATGTAACTCATGTTGTAGCATTAAACATTAATATTTCTAAACATCCTTTTGGCATGCTGAATTCAACTTTTTAATGAATCATCTGATGGAATAACTATTGTGAGTTAGATCAGGCATGGAACTGGGTTACCTCTGATCAAATGATAGTTGTTGCCTAAAGCTCTGTGTTGAGAAAGATTCTGAGACTGTATCTGGGTTGATTGAAAAGCGTACTGATACCAATTTATTAAAAATATCCGTCACAGGTGTGAGGGTGAGGGTGGGAGAGTAGGAGTAACTTATACTATGTTTTTACTAACTACAAGTATGAAGATACCATCAGGTAGATCGGTCCACTCTCTAGAGTTTATGAAGAGCAGCTTCAAGTATTACGTAGTTAGTTTGTCTTTGGTTAAGTAGCTGCATCCCTTTGCACACTGGTTTCCTTTTCAGGAGAATGAAGTTTCTGTACTAGATGATCTGTCATGACCTTTAAATTCTAACATTTTATAACAGTAATAGTCAAACTATAAATGCATTATTGTGGAGGACCTGGGGTATATCTTACTTTGGGTTCCTCCAGAAGAGAACCTGAGAGAGAATTCAAGTGCCAGTGATTTAATAGACACATAAAGAACATGGCTATCTTGGGTTATCAAATCTAGTTACCGCTTATACTACTGGGGAAACTCAGATAGTTCTATCTATGAGGAAAGGCAGTTTTATGCCAAATTTTATTATTAATTATTGAAATGGATGGGCTTGATTGGGTGGGAGAGTACTTTATTTTACCTGTACTTGGTCTCTGTTATACCAGCATGCAAATAGGCTTTCACACTACAGAAAGTCCTCAGTCTAGAAGTACAGTTGGAGATAGGACTGAGGTGCCCTTAAATAGTAAGAGCCAGGGAATATGGCAGGGTCTGCTTGGCTAGGATCCTTGGGGGCATTTGGAGTATTGATTACAAATGATACTCAAACATTGGGATAATAATGTATCTGCTTTTGACTCTGGAGCTATTATGAGTTGAGTTAAGGAAGTCTGTGAAATCTAAGAGTTATTTAATATTGGGACACTTTTAAAGAAAGTCTTCAGATAGTATTGTCTGGTAATACTTCTTATTGTTTTCCCCACAGTCAAGAGATCAAGAAAGCAAGAATGATTTCCTTTCTAATCAAAACATTCTAGCCTCAGCCCAAACCAAAGAAGGTTTGAACCTCGTGTTGATAAGAGGAGATGTTTCAGATTACTGTGTAAGTGTTGCTATTTAGTAAATCTACCAAAGCGCAATGGGTTAGAATTTATGGGTTCTATGATTTAAGGTCAAAGATTAAGATCATCTAAACTGGTTAAATTAAACCCACCTGAACTTCATGTTGGACTGTACTTACTCTTCCCTGTATTTTTCCTCATATATTCATGTGAAAACATACAAGTTTAACCACAAACCAGGGTGTAAAACCCACCTCTTGTATTTTTTATAATTTATCTTATAGTTTATGGTCACAGAAACCAACTCTAAAGTTACTTTTATCAGTGTTCACATACCTTTCTTTCACTGACCACCCATTAATCTTGGTCAGCATCCTCCTTATGCTTCAGGGTCCTTATCTATAAATTTGGATAATGATGATCATCATAGTAGGGTTGCTGTAAGGTTTAAATAAAGTAATTCATACAATATAATCAGCACCTTCCTGGCACACAGTTTAGACTCAAAAAGTGCTATTATCATTAGCACTGTAACAGACCCCTTTATATTTTACCCCATCCTATTCGTACTACAGTATCTCTATTTGAGATGGCTATTATTCTCTTTCATCTTATGGATGAGAAAACTGAGATTTTTTTCACTATATGGTCTATTAATTCACCATTAAGGTCGTGTCAGCCCTTGTCAGGCTACCTATTCTCACCTTTGGAAATATGGAGCAATATAAATTTGAGGATTCTCTTTCACTCCTTCTCTGGATTCCAGTTAGTTTCCAAGCTCCAACAGCCTTCTTTCACAGTGCCTCATGTACATGCTCTTTCCTTTTCATTCCCATAGTCAAGGTTTATTTCAGTGCCCCCAAACCCCATCACCCCTTATACATGCCTCCTTGCCTTTAGTCTCTCCCCGCCCAGTCTGTCCTCTATATTGCTTTTTGCTGCATAGTCCAAAGGGGAAAAATAGTGTGGATTTCAGAGTCCTCCATCTTCTGGCTACAAATCACTTTCCAGCCCTGCTCTCACTACTAAAATTCTCCTCTTTGCTAAATTGGACTACTGTCTGCCCTTTTTCAGCTCTATGTGTTTTCTTAAATGTTCCTCCCACCTAGAATGCCTTAAGCCTTCTTTCTATCCATCCCATTTATATCCATTCTTCTGGGTCTGTCTCAGATCCTTGTCCTCTTGGTAAAGCCTTTACCAACTAGTGCAGTCCAAATGATTCCTATTTTTTTTTTTTTCAAATTTCTATAACAGGTAGTTTTTGTATATTTAAGTTTCTTTTGATTATCTTGAATTTACTTAAACATTAGGACTATTTTATTTTTCTTATATGTTAATATATTGCTTCCTCAAACTGTGCAGGAGCAGTGAATTTATTGACATACCTAAAAAATAATGGTTTCATCTGGAGGTGGTCTGGTCAGCCCTGCAGGCCTAGTCCAAGAAAGGTCACTGAGGTGAAGGTAGGCAGTGTGCACCAAGCCTGCTCTCCAATGGCTGAGGCCATCCCTTTGGATGTGAGTAGTGAGGCTCTACTGGAGGTGGGAGAAAGGCGAAAGGGGGCTGGATCTAGTTTGACTTCCACTTTGTGTGTGTGTGTGTGTGAAGCTATGCTCACTCACTCTTGTTCATGCATGGAGATGTCTGATGTTAGTTTATGAGATTAGTCTATGCCAACTAAGCTCATCACAGATTGAGGTGGCCCCCGATGTCAATTATTAACGTAAAGTGAGAAATACAACTGTTGTATGGTCCAGAGATACAGACACCTTTTAATTTACAAAGTAGAACTCCCCAAGGAACCAGAACACTCAATCCTTATTATGAAAGCATTCATCCCCTCCAGATTTCAATACAAATTGGAATAAATGAAATTGACTATCAAATATCTATGGGCATCAGGCTATGACCCCATCTTTCCAAAAGGATGGCCTCAGGCATTGGAGAGCAGGCTTGTTGCACACTGCCTACCTTCAGCTCAGTGATCTTCTTATGACTAGGCTTTCAGGGCTGACCAGACCAGCCTTCAGATGGATCCATTCTTTTTTAGGTATGTCAATAAATTCAAAACAATTATTCTCAGTTACTGGCAGCCTAAAAGTAATTCTCTCTTTCTCTCTTCCTCAGTCTCTTTTAATGATTCTGTGTTTTTGTCTCAGTCTGTTTTACCATTTCTCTCTCTCTGTGACTGCCTTTCCCTTGTCGCTTTCCTTTTTATGCCTTTATCTTTCAGTCTTAATCTGTCTCTATGTCCCTTTTACTCATTTTCACAGTTCTACTTAATTTCTAAGGTTGGGGGTCATCACCTCATTATGGTGTCTAAGCTCTAATCATAAATTGTAAGCTCCTTGAAGTAGGGCTGACAGGTCAGTATGATAGGCAAAACACATTTTGTACATTACCCCATACTACCTATCAAGTCATAGGTGCTTAATAAATATTTACTGATTAGGTCTCTAACAAATTGTTACTGTTTTCCTTAAGGCTGATGTCATTGTCAACACGGTCCCCACAAGTCTTCATCTTGGAGGAGGACCACTATCTAGGGCTCTTTTGCGGAAAGGTGGTCCAAAGCTCCAGAAAGAACTAGAAGCTACGAGAAAGGAAAATAAGGAGGATTTGGGTAGCATCTTCATGACAAGCGGCTGCAATCTGAACTGTAAGGCTATGCTCCACGTGGTGGCTCCTTACTGGGATAATGGAGCAGCGTCTTCTTTGCAGGTAGGAGAAAATTCTTAGTTTTCTACCTCATTTGATCTTTGGTAATCTTCTAGCATGGTACAGACCTGTGGTTCTCAGATAAAGTGATTTTATCCCCCAGGGACATTTGGCGTGTAACAACTGCTACTGGCATCTAGGGATAGAGCCAGAGAAGCTGCTGAATACCCCACAAAACCTGCATTGGCCCCCACAATGAAGGATTATCTAGCCCAGGTTGAGAAACCCTAACATTGATTGAATCCTGCCTATTTATTGAAATCTTTATTATAGTCCATGGAAAGCCCATTGTAACTACCAGTTATTTCAGAATAAGTGGCCCTCAAACATGGTAACAATTATTGGGATTCTCCAGGAATGGTGTCTGAAGATTAGTGTAATAATCCTTGAGTATAGAAAAGACATACAGCCAGAGCTGCAAATAAAGAAGGGTCAGAATCCTTTTCTTGATGACATAATTCTCATCTAAACCAAGTACTCCTACTTTAACCTTTTTTTTTTGTCAGAATGTAAAAATAATACACACATTGTTAAAAATGCAGAAAAGTCAAAAATAAAAATCATAATCCAACCATCTAGATATAGCCTTGATTTGCGTTTTATGTCTCCTTCAATTATATTATATATATACACTTATTCCTTGGTTGAGATTCTCTTCAAAACATTTTTAGACCTACTTTTTTTTACTTAACATAAACATTTCCCCATGTTGTTAAAAACTCTTCATAAATATCACTTTTAATTGCAATGTGATATCGTTGTTTATGTAAGAATTGTCACAGTTGAATCCTCCCCTTCTGAATGAATGAATGAATGAATGAAGCTCTCTAGAAAGTCCTTTGCCCCCTCAATATTTTCCTTTCTGACTCCCCAGATCCCAACAAAGCCAGCAAGAGGAGAAAGGACCTAGTCAGAGTTGTTGAAGCTACTGCCCTTTCTGTTTCCAGCAGTTTGAACCCTAACTTATTTATACAAATTTTGTACATTTCAGATCATGACAAGTATAATCAAGAAATGTTTGAAGACTATAGAGCAGCTATCTTTCCCATCAGTCACATTTCCTATGATTGGAACAGGAATTTTGAGGTTTCCCAAAGCTGTTTTTGCTAAACTAATCCTTTCAGAAGTGCTCAAATTTAGTAGCTCTGCATACAGGAAATCCTTTCAAGAAGTTCAATTTCTGGTCCTTCCAAGTGATAAGGAAGGTGAACAGGTATGGTTACATATCTTTTGTGGTCATTCTGGCAAGCAGCTTAAGTGCAGTCAGCTGATGTCATAAATATAAATAAAAGTGTTTTCTGCTTCCCTGCCCATAAGTATTGACTACTGATGGGGGAGGAGGTTGTTGTTAATGGCTTCACTATGAGGCACAATCCCTCCTAGAAAGTTTATTGAGAAATAAGACAATGTCTAGCAAGTTCATTTGTAGAAAGAAACAAAAATTATCAGCATAAGAGGGGCCCAGACATTTGAACACAGACTACATTAAAGCTGAGTAATGGTTTCATTTAGTTTAGTGTAAAGGCCAGATATGATAGTTATTGAAGAGAATACAGCCAATCTATTTAAGTCTATGAGGGTCTAAAGTTAGAAATACCAGCACTACGTTCAGTAGTACCAAATACTCACCCCTGGCACTGCCCTGGTAAGATGGCATACTTTCAGAAGCACTTCATAGCGAGTTGGCCCACTCTGAGTACCAAAATCTGTTTTCTGCCTTTGAAAAAGGCTACTGATCTTATACAAATTGTGCATGCTCTTAGTGAACATGCGAACGATATAGAAGTACAAAGAAAAATCTCAGCTTCACCATTTAAAGATTAAGTGAAGCAACCTCCCTAAATCTCAGTTTTCAGTGTGTAAAAGGAGCAATAAACCTCTGAGATGCTGTGAGAATTTAAAGAGGACATAATTGAAATGTCTAGCACATAGAAAACCTTAAAATTGGTTGCAGGAGTAGTAATTATTACCTTTTTGTTGTTTGACTTTAAGGACAATTGCTATAGCTTCCTAAAATTAGCATTAAAAAGATAGCAAAGATAATGATATTTTCTAAATACTTAATTATTCTCAACAATTGGGATAGAATGTGGTCTTCACATAAAATAAAGTAAATCGTCACTGGCATTTCCTAGATTGAACTGCAATCGTTAATTTAGCTAAGAAATCTCTGAGATAATTTATTGAGAACTGTTAGAAACTATTGTTCCTAACTGATGTCTGATGATCACTGCTCTAAAGAATTAGATTAATATTTCTATAGAACATTCTTGTGTTTGGTAACTATGTTTCTTCCCTATCTCCAGGCATTTTTAGATGAATTTGCTAGACAATCAAGTGAAAATCCCAACAGGGACAGGATTCTAATGACTGGTGATAACCAAGGTCTGGGAAAGTTGTTCTGCTGATGAAATATTTTCTTTTGCTTACTAACTCCTTAGTGGTACTTAGAAGGCCCATAAATGGAGACAAAGCTAATTCACATGAAGCACCAATAAATGATGGAGGAGGTGTTAGAGCATGTTCCATTGTCTGGGCACACAAAGAGCAAATCCTATTGTGATGAACTAAATTATTAGTAATGAGGCCAGCGGTTCCAAGATATGATAATAGGAGAGCTAAAATGTGTATGACACATTAAACTGTATATTGCTTACGTGTGTGTGTGTACTATTATTTAACCTATGCACTGGCCTCATGGGCCGGTATAAATGTGGAAAGGGAGACCTAATGAATTTAAGAGATGAGGAGAAATTTGTAAAGCCTCAGAGCGTACAGTGGGCAGTAATATGCCAACACGGTAAAGGTAATTTCCTGTGAGCAGTCTTTAATTGCCACCCCAGTGGGATGTGAAGTTGCAGGGAGAGCTCGTGTTTGGAGCTTGTGAGCTGTTGTTTAACACTGGACAAGTCACCTTACCACTTTGAGATCATTTTCCTTCCAGGAAAAAGGTAATAAAAGAATCTTCATTAAGTACACACTTTCAGTTATAAGATGAATAATTCCTGGACAGTATCATGTTTACTAGTTATATATCATGTACATTATTAACTATAGTTAATACTATATTGTATACTTGAAATTTGCTCAGAGAGTAGATTTAGCATATTCTCACCACACACGCAAATGGTAACTATGTGAGTTAATGTGTTAATTAACTTGATTGTTGTATTCATTTCATAATGTAGAATGTATCAAAACATAACATTATTCACCTTAAATATATTCCATTGTAGTTTGTCAATCATATCTTAGTAAAAACAGGAAAAAAAAGTCCCCCAGAGGTAATTGTCAGCATGAAATGAGATTGCCCGTTGCGCTTTCTCCTTTCTCTCTCACACACCTCCTTTTTTTTTCTTTAATCACATCACAGCAATGTTTGCAAATGAGCACATGGTAGTTCATGTTTCTACCACATCCTATTTAACAGAGAGAATGTAGAGACTTCTACTGCTAAAATGAATTATTTTCTGATTTCCCTAAAAAAAAGAAAACCCACCTGTTCCACAGCTTAAGAGACAGTTGTGCTTGGATTTGTGAGGGGAAAGAAAGAAAGAGAACTGGAAAGAGAATTGGCCCCCATAATGTCTGTTCTTCCTCTAGAAGCCATTTTTCATCCATTTTCTTTCTTTTCAGGTATCATCAGGACTCTCTCTAAACCTGGCCTCACAGGTTATGAAATGAAATTTGGGTCAATTAATTTCCAGGTTGTTACTGGAGATATCACTAAAGAAAAGACAGATGTTATTGTAAACTCAACAACAAGGACATTTGCTCTGAAGTCAGGTATTTTATTTAAGCAATGTACTTGATTGTAACTATTAACTATTAACATTAAAAGGGCGTAAGACACAGAAGGAAAGGAGAGTTAGAGGGAAAACAATAATGAACAAGTGATGGTAATCATATTTCTAGAAGATAGGAAGCAGCTAGCCAGTGGAGGTAACTGACAGGGGTAGAGAAAAATTGGCCCTTGTGGGTGAGAATGGCATTCCCTAGAAACACAGAAATTGGAAGCAGCAAGTCCCTAGGAAGGCAGTGGACAAGTTAACTGAAAGAGATTTTGTATCAGTAGCATTTAGGCCTCTTGATTTTATCCCTTATCCTGTGCATCAGTAACTTCCTTGGCCAGAGACGGAAGGTTTATTCTCTAGTGAATCTGAACTAAAAAGATCTCGGTCTTAGAGCACCAGATACAGGTGAAGTAGGGGTGGGGAACTAAGCTCAACAAGGTGTTTAAGTAAAAGTCTCTGTACTAAAGTGAATGTCCAGCCCTAGACCCTGCCAGCTCTTAAGAAAGCAACCAGGTTTATGTCCTCCAGAGAGAAGATCTAAGGATCCTTCTGGGGAGAAACTGACTGCCCTTTAACCCATTACTTACTGCCTGTTTATCTTAAGCTGAAGCTATTTATCAGCAAGCCCCCTGCACACAGTTTCCAAATTCACTCTTAAATATGAATGGACTGGTGACAGTCACCTGACCTTAGTGGTAAACCTCCATCTTACAAAGTCAGAAACCAAAAGAAATGAACTAAAGAAGGAATTTAAAAAAAGAGTTCGTTCATAACATATATACATAATCAAAGAGATATAGATTGATGGTTGACAGAGCTTCATAATGATAAAATAACTAGCATTTATTTAATACTTTCTGTGTACCAGATTTTGTAATAAAAATTTTTCATTCATTATCTCTTTTAATGTTCAAGTAATCCTGTGAGAGAGGTACTATGCTAGCTAATCTCTATGGAACAGATTAGGTAAGAATTAGTTACATATTGACTAGTAAATAACAGACTCAACCAACATCAACCTCATCTATAAAAACGTATAGTCCATGTTTCAACCACTAAAGAAACAAAAGCCAGCTGTCATTGAACTTGATCAAATGGGCAAACTCCAGCCTTGATGGGGAGATTCCTGGACTGAAATCAGCCAACTCTCTGTCTGTTTGTAAAAAAATTAAATTAAATTAAATCATAAAAATCAAAGAACTTAGGTGAAGTGGTAAATTTTATTAATTTTGAGATGCATGCTTCTTGTTAGTAATAGAACTTTTATTTTATATTGTCATTCAATGTTATAAGGTAGTGATGGTATAATGCCAAAAAAAAAAAAAAAGGGAAATAACTGTAGAAATAATCCCTGGATAAACAGATGGTAAAGTGGGAGACTTTCAACTATTGGGTAGTTTCATGTCAGCCACTGAGTGAAGGTTGCTGTAGAATGAAGGTTTGATGGGGAAGGGGAAGGGGAAGATGTTGTCAATGGATTATGCACAAAAAGATAAGTCGAACAAATGTCTAACATACAAAAGTCATAATCACTTACTGAATTTTAACCATTGCCTTTTACCATTAACATGTTGTATTTAGGGGTGTCAAAAGCAATTTTAGAAGGTGCTGGACCAACTGTGGAAAAAGAATGTGCTGTACAAGGTAAGTCACATGATACTTTTGGTTACAATCTCTTGAAATTAGAGGGCTGAGAATACTATGAGAGGACTCAGGAGAGGACTTGGACAGAGTAAGTGGGGAAGGCTTAGGAAGAAGGTCGATTCAATGGGAGAGCACACACAAGGTTGTGTGACTTGGTGGTTGTGGGGGAAAGGGTCTTTTGGCACTGTATCCCTCCTGTTCTTCATTCCTTAGAGTTGCAAAGAACCCAGGCCTGGTCCTAATAATTCAGGCTCCGCATGCTATGATTATGGGCATGTCATCTAATCTCCAGAGTACTTTGCTTCTTTCATCTGTTAGATGGTCCTAATCAGGACTGTGACAATGTCTGTGAGGACTATGAGAATGAGGACTATGACTATGTCTGTGAGGTTCAGAAGGAACACAGAGTGTGAAAAATTTTATGAACTATAAAGTGCTATACAAATTATCTTTGGCTTTCCACAACCTTGTTCTACTTCTCACAGCACCCCAACTTCTAATCCTTCTATGAATGAATTTAGAACACAATTGTGTCTGAGATATTTTCTGACACTATCTATTTGGGATTAGCACCAGATTCCACAAGTTAAAGGGCTCAGTCCCACAAAACTGCCTCCACATCAAATACCAGGGGCCACATGTACTTCTGACTAACTGGCTATAATTTCAAGCATTCCCACAACTCTCTTCTCTGGTTCAACAATTTACTAGAATGGCCTACATCACTCACAAAAACATTTATTTTTATCAGCTTATTGTAAAGATTACAACTCAGGAACAACCAAATGAAGGGGATGCATAAGGCAAAGTAGTGGGGAAGGGAGTTCCCAGTCCCCTCCAGCTGCCCCAGCCTCCCAACACTTAAATGTGTTTACCAATGTGGAATTTGCCAAGCTCTATTTTTTTTAAACTTTTTTTAAAAGATTTATTTTATTTATACAAGAACTGGAGTACAGGCCAGATGTGCGGGAGAGTGAGAGAATTCATCAGAAACAGTGGGGAGCAGATCAGGTAGATGGATGGAAGACATTGCTGAGGGGGAGCAGTGGGCTAGGCAGGAGAGGTCTGCCACGCCATGTGGGTATCTCCCTAGCCGTCCAGGAATCAAACTCGCGCTGCAGAGGCTGTGGACAGCTTCACAGCACTGCGCTCAACCCGCTGTGCCACCAGGGAGGCCCACCAAGCTCTATTATTTAGGGCTTTTAAAATCACCCCTTCTCTCTTTTTTTTCCTCATCGTTTCTGGGTACTGAGAGGTTTTTAAGGAAGCTTCATGTTGTAGACATGAGCATGTAAGAAACACCACTGAGGAGATTCTGAGAGTTCGAGGAACTCTAAGACAGGAGCAGGAGACAATGACCAAATATTTATTTTTTATTACCTCACAGTGGAGAATAATAAACTCTTTATTCTTCAAAACCCGGACTCATGCCTTGCAGAGCAGAGTCACAGTCAGCCATGAGTGTGATTTGAAGCAGTCATAGTGCCCCATGTTTTTCGACACATTCCCTAACTGACATATGATGCCTGAAACTCCCACCTTAACATCTCTCCTCAGATCAAGATATTAACCCTAGAGGGAATGAATTCCTGGAGGGGTAATAGAAGGTGGTGATGTTGGTTACCAACATGAATGTTAAAGGGGATTTGTGCCTTGCAAGAACTAGCTATACCTGGGAAAGCAGAAGCAGAGATTGAGTTTGGTGAGACAAACTGGGAAAACTTGAAGAGACTGTCAAGGGTGAGCAGGTGGGACACCCGCAGAGCGAAGAGTGGCAGGAGGTGTGCAGGCAATGTGAGCTCACCCCACGTGGTGGGGGATGGCCAAGGACCCACTCACCTCTGTTTTATTGGGTCATCATGCAAAAAAGCAGTGACTTCAAACCCCCCACATAATTTACAAGTGCTCAAGGGCTTTCAGGTTCCTGGGGGAAGGAGGTTACTTCTGTTCACATCTCCACAGCACAGAGCACATTGCTTTTACCTCCTAGAAAAATTAATCTATCCAAATGAGCATATAAATTGCTCTTCTGGACAATAGAGTGGGGATTAAGAGCTCAGGATACTGACTGTTTGGGTTTACATCCTGGATCATCTTGAACTTCTGAACTTATCTCCACTTAATCTGTGAAATGGAAAAAAACAATATCAAAATCTCAAGCTTATTTTGAGGACTTAGTGGGTTAATTCAGTTAGGATTCTTTTGAATAATATCCAAATGCTAAGAATATTGAATTAAGGAATCCTCACTATAAAAATCAGGGAAAGTTAATAAGAATCACAATGAGATACCACCTTACACCAGTGAGAATGGCACATATTAAAAAAATGGAATAACACATGCTGGTGAGGATGTGGAGAGAAAGGAACTCTTTCACACTGCTGGTGGGAATGCAAAATGGTCCAAACACGATGAAAAGCTGTGTGGAGGTCCCTCAAACTACTAAAAATGGAGCTGTCATATGACCCAGCAATTCCACTCCTAGGCATCTACCCAAAGGTCACAAAAAATTAATTCAAAAGGAAACAAATCTGCTCTCCTATGTTTACTACAGCACTATTTATAATAGGTAAGATATGGAAACAAACTAAATGCCCCCAAACAGATGACTGGATCCAAAAAAAAGTGGTATATATACATGATGGAATACTCATGTCATTTGCAGCAACATGGATGGAACTGGAATTATGCTCAGTGAAATAAGTCAGAAGGGAAGAGAAAAATATTGGGTGGTTTCACGCATCGGAGGAAAATAGGGAAGCCAAACAAGGGGCCAGGGGAAAAAACAGACAAAACTAGCAGGCAACTGTAAATAGGAGACATTCAGCTGGGGACGGGGAAGGGCAGGAAGAGGGATCAAAACAGGGAAGGAAAGAGCATAAGAGACTATGGTGATTGTTCATGGGTGTCTGGGTGGTGGGAATTTTTTACATTAATTTAAAAAAAAATTTTACATCATTGTTCATTTTTAAACAATATTTGCTTCCCCCCACCCTCTCAGGTGTAGTCCCCATAGAGTTTCCTTCACCAATGCACCCGTGCACCATCACCTCAGTCCCCTGTGCTCCTCCCTTCCTCCCTCTGATCCCTCTCCTGCCTCCTCCCCTGCAGGATGTCCCTGATTTGTAATTGTCTGTTTTTGCTTTGTTGTGCTTTGTACCGTTACTACTTTTTTACGGTGATGTCTTATTTGGTTCCCCTTTTTTCCTGCTATAAGTGAAACCATCTGATATTTTTCTTTTTCCTTCTGGCTTATTTCACTGAGCACAATTCCTTCTAGTTCCATTCAAGTTGCTGCAAATGGCATGAGTTTCTCTTTTTTGATTGCTGAATAATGTTCCATTGTGTATATATGCCACATCTTCTTGATCCAGTCATCTGTTTTGGGGCATTTGGGTTGTTTCCAGGTTTTACTTATTGTAAATAGTGCTGCAATAAACATAGGGGTACAGGTGTTCTTTTGAATCAATGTTTTTGTGTCCTTTAGGTAGAGCTCTGGGAGTGGAATTGCTGGGTGGTATGGTAGCTCCATTTTAGTAGGCTGAGGAAGCTCTAGACAGCTTTCTATAGTGGTTGGACCATTTTGCACACCCACCAGCAGTGTAGGAGAGTTCCTTTTTCACCTTGGTGGTGGGAATTTTATGGGGAATACACCTGAGAAGAGAATGAACAATGATGTGAAAAATATATATATATAAAATTAAAAAATTAAAATAAAAGAATCCTTATTATAAAGACAATGAGCCTGTCACAGTCCATGTGTGTGAAATCAAATGGCTGAATGGGGAGACTGGACTTAGTCAGGAAGATTTACTGCTATTTCTGATGTCAGTAATTTTCACTTTTCAGTCATCAGGGCTGCTTCCCATAAATAATGTGCTGTGTGTGTTTCCTTCTCTTCTCTTTTCTCCCCCCTTCCCCCAGCTTCACAACCTCACAAAGATTTTATAATTACACAAGGTGGAAACTTAATGTGCAAGATAATAATTCATGTTCTTGCGCAAAATGATGTCAGGAAGACGGTGACCAGTGTTCTGGAGGAGAGTGAGCAGAGGAAGCACACATCTGTTTCCCTTCCAGCCATTGGAACACGTTTGGAGCTTCTCGTCACTTAATTATTCTGGGTAATCCAGTTGTCTTTCGACTTAGTCTCTCTTAAAGAACTTAATAAGGAATCCAGGCAGCATAGTGACACAAGCCAGTGATTACTGTGGACCTACACCCATTTCATCTATCTTTTATTTTATGTTTCCTAAGTACCTTTCCCTATTTCACGCTTAGCTCGACGATTTCCTTACTCTTCCTTATTTTTCTTAAGGGGACTCATTTGCTCCCATTCCATCAATTACCATTTGACACTGACTCCCAAACCATCCTTTCTAGCTTTCTCCAGGATCTTCTCTGGGAGACTTCATTGTACCAAAAACTTCATTGTATCAGAATCCAAACTTACTATTATTCCTTGCACATACACACCCCTCTTGAGTTTTGTTTTCTAATGTCTTCCATCAGTGGTGCCATAATGCTCCTAGCTGTCCTGCCATTCTTGCTTTTTTTGTACCCCCAGGCCCCCATGCTCAGAAAATCCTACTGAACTTCTTCCAGGGGATTGTTCAATTTCAGCCTTCCTTTCAGTTTCCAAACCCTCAGTACTGGGCCCATCTGATTTCTTTATTGTGTCCTCACTGACTGCTGATTTGGACATTGAGTCATTGTCCTTAAATACTTTCCCCGTCATCTCTGCTGTATCATACAATTGTGTGCTCTTTGTCAAGGATGATGTGAATGACCCAGTTCCTGATTCATTCATCCCCAATTGCACAGACTTTTTAATATGCCCAGAGAGGAGCCTTAGTAATGTTTCACATAGTTTGGACTTAGGGAACGTCACAAGGTATTTTAACCTCCGTGGGTCAGACCACTGTTTCTTTCCACTCAGACTTCTTCCTGGCAAGAGTATTGGAGGGGCTGCAAATGTTTTTGAAATATAGCCAAGGAGAGTTGATTTTTTTAAAGATTTATTTATTTATGGACACAAGAGCTGGGTACAGGCCAGAGGTTTTGGGGATGGGGTGAGAGGATTCACCAGAGACAGAGTGGGGAACAGAACAGGCAGACTGACTGAAATACACTGCTGAGAGGAGTAGTGGGTGAGTCAGGAAAGATCTTCCACGCCATGTGGGTCACCTCCCTGGCCAGGGATTGAACTCGTGCTGCAAAGGCTGCGGATAGCTTCATAGTGCTGCGTCTTAACCCCTTGGGCTACCAGGGAGGCCCAGGAGAGTTGACTTTTGACAGTTAAAATTTTATTGTTTGATACGATATATTTTTTGATTTTTTTTTATTTATTTTATTTGTTTGTTTGTTTTGTTTATACATGCACTGGGTACAGTCAGAAGCGCGGGAGGGTGAGAGAATTCACCAGAGCCAGAGCAGGGAGCAGAGCAGGTAGAAGGACCGAAGTACACTGCTGAGGGGAGCAGCGGGCGGCAGGAGAGGTCTGCGCGCCATGTGGGACCCTCCTCCGGTGGCTGGGGAGCAGCTGGGGATCGAACCGGCGCCGCCGAGGCCGCGGGCAGCTTCGCAACCCAGCGCTCAACCGCTGCGCCACCGGGGAGGCCCTATTTTTTGATTTTAAATATTCACTTTTATACATAATTTTATTGTTTGTAATTTTGTATTCTTTTTCTAAGATGTACACATTTCTAAGAGGTATAAATTTAAAACCCTACAAAACCTAGACCCACCCCTGACTGTTAGGTGCCCCATTAGGTGCTAATATAAGACTTACTCACAGATAAGAAACTGAGGTTTTGAGCATAAGGTCTTACAGATAGTCAACAACATAACTGGGTTGAAACCCAGACAAACTGGCCTGGATGTTTCCACCACTACTTTTTTTTTTTTTTTAACCATAATGTGATTTTCTACCACTGTGTTCTTTCTTAATTATTATAGTCTTAGCTACTACAGTCTTACCTCTATTATTTATTACTTTCTATTATCACCCAATTTTATAATTGGGTAAATTGAAATTTGGAAGTATTCTGAGCTGAGTCATGCTCCCTCAAAATCCATCTCTTGAAGTCTTAGTCCTCAGTATCTCAGAGTGTAACTATATTTGATGATAGGGTCTTAAAAGAGTCACTTAGGTAAAATGAAGTCATCAGGTGGCCCTTAGTCCAAAATTACTGTGGTGTCCTTGTTAAAAGAGGACAGTAGGACACCCATAGGTGGAAGCAGGACCATGTGAAGACCTAGGGAGAAGACCATCTGTGAGCATAGAGGAAAGGGCTCGGAAGAAAAATTTTCCAACACCTTGATCAGAGCCTTCAGAATGGTAGGAAAATGATTTTATGTTGCTTAAGTCACCAGTCCATACCAGTTTGTTTTGGCAGCCCTAGCAAGGTAATATAAGACTTACTCACATGACTTACCCAAGATGACAGTTAAGCAGCTAAGCCCAAATCTCCTGCATCAAAATCACACTTTTCTTTTCTCTGCAGTGCCTGTGCTCTGCAGCTAAAGACCCCCTGGAGCAGATGATATGGGGAACGCTGCACATCTCAGCAAGAGGATTTTAAAAGGGACATGGATGCATTTATTTGTGCTAGGTGATTCTGTGGTAGTCTCAAGCGGGGCTTTGGTCTGTACTGGATGCTTTCAGAGATTGGGCATCTTATCTAGAAGGAAAGTGGAGTGGAGCAAATGCCATGATTCATAATGAATCAGTAGCTGCTCATACTAGTCAAGATAAGGAGATATTTGTATTTTGAATAGCATTCCTGTTTCGGTCTATGGTCAGACATGATTATGGAGTGTCTTGTTCTGGGTTTAATTCTTCACAGTCACAGAGTGGTTACATTTGATGACGTTTTATGAAATTCTGTTCAGCTGGAGAATACCAACACCCACAGCGAATGCCAGGCCAGCTCCTGGCCAGGAACTACTTTCCTCTTTCTCAGCGCAAAGAACTGCATTTGCTAAATCTTGTCACATGACCAACACTAGCTGAAACTTCTTGTTGTTACTTAAATTTTTTTTTTTTTTCAGGAAGTGCCAGGAAAAACCCAGTCAATGTTGCTGATGACATAATCAATGCTGTTGTAGACTTTGCACGGAAATATTCTTCCCCATCATTAAAAGAAGTTAAAGTTGTCATCTTTCTACCTAAACTGTTAAGATGAAACAAAGAGAAAGCTCCGTATCACTTACTTCTCGTTCTCCAACATTACACGTAAGACTGCATGTTCTTTTAAAATTGTGTTTTTCTCTAATACCGCTTAAAACAATTAGATGTGAATGCTCACTATTTCTACAAGTTTTAGGACTTTGCAGACAACTTTCTACAATACGTGGGGAAAGTACAAGAGCTATGGGATACAATCTCTTGTCAGCTAGTTAATGTTTGAAGGGGAAGAATCATACATTGTAAACAGGATTAGCAAATGAATAGGAAGAGAATAGAATTTAGAAGAAAAAGATTGAAAATTCTACCCAATTATTTCATTATTAACTTATTGATTGGTATTCACCCTCAGTGCCCCTTGTAGTTATGAAGTAGCTGATCTACTGATTTACTGATCATCTACCATTAGACAAGGGATAGAAGCAGATGCAGGAAGGGAGTGGCCAGGGCCATCTGGTTATACTACCTACATCTCAAGTAGGCAGGTTCCTGGTGGATTCTCTGTAAAGTGTGTATTTTTGATTGTGTTTAAGTGTCTGTGTCAACTTGCATTTCTGATCTAGCTTTCTGCCATTTTGTGACATCTACAAAGCCATGAAAACAAGTAGAAATGCAGCCTCCTCTTGCAATGACTGATATTGCCCATTCTGCGTACTCACCCATAAAGCACTTTGAGTTTTCTAGTGATGGGGCCTGCTGTCATCAGCAGCCTCCCTCAGAAAATTGGTGGTTATTGTCTGTTGCTGCCAGCAGGAATTTCAGTTCTAGCTATACTTATTTCCTGATAAATATTCTCCTCAATATGTCACAACACATAGTACATGTAAAAACTGTGCACACAATAAATAGAAATGAAAATAATAGTTGAATCTGTTAAGGCTCTTGCAGTAGCAAGTAACAGATAATCCAGCTTAAACTGCTGTCAAAAATGGAACTCATTAATTCATGTATCTATAAAGCTCAGGCACACCTGCCTTCAGATAAGGTCCAAGTACTGAATCAGTTTCATCCATGTACTAATCTGATATCATACAGACTTTGACTTTCTTCACCTCTCACTCTTTTTCAGTTGTGTTTCTTGATCTTCAGGCTTCAGGCCCATAATTTTGTATGTCCAATAGAAAAGAGAATATCTCCAGTGGAGATACGTACTTGCCATGAGGAGCAGAACTTGGGAACAGAATTGCTCATATCAGGCCTGGGTTCCTTCTGATTGGACTAGCTTAGGTCATTGTTGCAGGCAGGGTATGAGAATTTCCCTAACTGGCCAAGTCACAGTCACAACAGCCACATTTGCGTGAGTTGGGATCACTATCTGAAGTAACTGGGAAAGATTGTTTCCCAAGGGAATTCAAGAAGTTCTTTCCAGAAGGAGGGGGAAAGGATGCCAGGCAGTTAAAAATAATATGTACCACAGAACACAACACAACAAAGCTAAAATAGACTATTATAAAACAGAGACATAGTGTAGGGGAGGAGGAGGGAGAGGGATCAGAGGGAGGGAGGGAGGAGCACAGGGGACTCAGGTGATGGTGCACAGGTGCATTGGTGAAGGAAATTCTATGGAGACCACACGGGGCGGGGGGGGGAAGCAAATATTGTTTAAAAATGAACAATGATGTAAAAAATAAAAAAGTAAATAATAAAAAAATGTGTCAGGAATATGTATCTAGGAATATGTAAAAATTAACATTTTCTTTGGTCTTTGTAAAGGAAAATTATTTAAATATAAGAGCAAGAGTAGTAATTCATCAGTTAAAAAACAAAAAGTTAAACTGGTTCAACCACTCCCTGTTTTTGTTGAGAATTTAAATTGACCAATGATATTAAAAATAAAACAGGAAAATTAAATAGAGAAGTAAACAAAAAAATAACTAATATGAGCAGATAAGTGACCATATAGTAATTGAAGTGAAAACAAACAAAACAAAGCCATTTTACATACTGTTTGTTTTAGATAAAAGGGATAATACAGATAAAGTGTCAGATAAAAGGAAGTTTGCTGGCAGAGAGAAATTTGGATTTTAGTAAGAATTTATCATACAGACTTCTTTATTTTTTTTTATTTTTTATTTTTTTAATCTTAAATTTTATTTTTATATTCCCCCATACAATTGCAAACGCCCCATTCTGACCCCAATCCTTCCCCTCCCACCCCAACCCCAAAAAGTGTCTCTGGTTCATAGTTTTTTGTTGATTTTGATTTTCACTTTCTTATATTCATTTTCCTGGTCCCTTATTTAAGTTTTCTAGATTCCTGCTATGAGTGAGACCATCCGGTATTTTTCTTTTTCTTTTTGGCTTATTTCGCTGAGCATGATCCCTTCCAGCGCCATCCATGTTGCTGCAAATTGCATGTGTTTATCTTTTTTGAATGCTGAGTAATATTCCATGGTATATATGTACCACATCTTCTTGATCCAGTCATCTACTTTTGGGCATTTGGGTTGTTTCCAAAGCTTAGCTATTGTAAACAGTGCTGCTATAAACATAGGGGTGCAGGTGCTCTTTGGAATTGATGTTTCTGTGTCCTTTGGGTAAATACCTAGGAGTGGAATTGCTGGATCATATGGAAGCTCTATGTTTAGTAGGTCCAGAAATCTCCACACAGCTCTCCATAGTGGTTGGACCAGTTTGCACTCCCACCAACAGTGCACAAGAGTTCCTTTTTCTCCACATCCTCGCCAACATTTGTTGTTGCTAGTTTTTTTAATATGTGCCATTCTCACTGGTGTGAGATGGTATCTCATGGTAGTTTTGATTTGCATTTCCCTGATTGCAAGTGATGTTGAACATTTTTTCATATGTCTGTTGGCCATTTGCATTTCCTCTTCAGAGAAGTTTCTTTTTAGCTCTTCTGCCCATTTTTTGACTGGATTATTTTCTTTGTTGTTGCTGAGTCTCATCAGCTCTTTGCAGATTTTTGTGATCAGTCCTTTATCATTAGTGTTGGGTGCAAAAATGTTCTCCCAGTTGGTGGGTTTCTCTTTGTTTTTGTTATTGTCTCTTTTGCTGTGCAGAAGCTCTTTAATTTGATGTAGTCCCAGCTGTTTATCTTTGCCTTCACTATCACTGCTTTGGGTGATGTGTCTGTAAAGATGTCTTTGATGTGCAAATCCCGTAGTGTTTCGCCTATATTTCCTTCTATGTATTTTATGGTTTCAGGTCTTATGTCTAGTTCTTTAATCCATTTTGAGTTGATTTTTGTGTATGGTGTGAGGTAGTGGTCAAGCTTCATTCTTTTGCATGTAGCGACCCAGTTTTCCCAGCACCATTTATTGAACAAACTTTCTTTGCTCCAATGCATAGTCTTTGCTCCTTTGTCAAAGATTAGTTGACCATAAATCTGTGGATTTATTTCTGGATTTTCTATTCGATTCCATTGGTCTGTATGTCCGTTCTTGTTCCAATACCATGCAGTTTTAATGATTATGGCTTTGTAGTATAGTTTGAAGTCTGGGAGTTTGATGCCTCCATTTCCTTCTTTTTTTTTCAGTAGAGCTTTGGCTATTCGGGGTTTTTGGTGATTCCATATGAATTTCATCAATAATTGTTCTATTTCTTTGAAGAATGCCATTGAGATTTTGATTGGAATAGCATTGAATCTGTATATTGCTTTTGGGAGGATGGCCATTTAATAATGTTTATTCTTCCAATCCATGAGCAGGGGATGTCTTTCCATTTCTTTGTGTCTTCTTCTATTTCTTTTAACAGTGTTTTATAGTTTTCTTTGTATAGGTCCTTTACCTCTTTTGTTAGATTTATTCCCAAATATTTGATTTTTTTTGTTTCAATAATAAAAGGGGTGGTTTTTTTGATTTCTTCTTCTTCAGATTTATTGTTTGTGTATAGGAAGGCTACTGACTTTTGCGTGTTGATTTTGTATCCTGCCACTTTACTGAACTGACTGATGAGTTGAATTAGTTTTTCTGTGGAGATTTTGGGGTTCTCTATGTATATTATCATATCATCTGCAAATAGTGATAGTTTGACTTCTTCTTTTCCTATTTGGATTCCTTGGATGTCTTTCTCTTGTCTTATTGCTCTGGCTAGGACTTCCAGTATTATATTGAAAAGCAGTGGTGAGAGTGGACATCCTTGTCTTGTTCCAGATCTTAATGGAATTGCTTTCAGCTTTTCACCATTGAGAATGATACTGGCTGTTGGCTTGTCATAGATGGCCTTTATGATGTTGAGGTATGTTCCTTGTATCCCAAGAATTTCAAGGGCTTTTATCATGAATGGGTGTTGCACTTTGTCGAAAGCTTTCTCAGCATCTATTGATATTATCATATGGTTTTTATATTTCTTTTTGTTGATGTGTTGGATAACGTTGATTGATTTTCGGATGTTAAACCATCCTTGTGCCCCTGGAATGAATCCAACTTGGTCGTGGTGAATTATCTTATGGATACATTGTTGGATTCTGATAGCTAAAATTTTATTGAGGATTTTTGCATCAGTGTTCATTAGGGAGATTGGCCTATAGTTTTCCTTTTTTGTGTTGTCCTTATTCGGTTTTGGTATTAGTGTAATATTGGCTTCATAGAACGTGTTTGGTATTGTCCCTTCCTTCTCAATTTTTTGGAAGAGTTTGTGAAGGATAGGCACTAATTCGTCTCTGAATGTTTGGTAGAATTCATTTGTAAATCCATCAGGTCCTGGGCTTTTGTTTTTGGGGAGGTTTTTGATTACCATTTCAATTTCGCTGCTTGTAATTGGTCTGTTTAGGTGTTCTATTTCTTCTTTATCTAGCTTTGGGTGATTGTAGAGTTGTAGGAATTTGTCCATCTCCTCTAGATTGTTGAACTTGTTTCCATATAACTGTTCATAGTAGTTACTGATTATTCTTTTGATTTCTGCTGTGTCCGTTGTGATTTCTCCTCTTTCATTGATGATCCTGTTTATTTGTGCTTTCTCCCTTTTTTCCTTTGTGAGCCTGGCTAGGGGTTTGTCTATTTTATTTTTTTTCAAAGAACCAGCTCTTGGTTTCATTGATCTTTTGGATTGTTTTTTTAGTTTCAATTTCATTTATTTCTGCTTTGGTTTTTATTATTTCTTTTCTTCTACTGGTTTTGGGGTTTTTTTGTTGTTCTTTTTCTAGATCTTTGAGCTTCGAGATTAGGTTGTTTCTTTGAGTTCTTTCTTGTTTCTTGATGTGAGCTTCTATTGCTATGTATTTTCCTCTTATTACTGCTTTTGCTGCATCCCATACATTTAGGATATTGGTGTCCTCCTTGTCGTTCAATTCAAAGAATTTTTTAATTTCTTCTTTGATCTCCTCATTAGTCCAGTGGTCTTCCAGTAGCGTGGTTTTTAATCTCCATGAGGTAGGAAAGTTCCTTGCCTTCTTTTTATGGTTTATTTCTAGTTTGATGCCTTCATGGTCAGAAAAGATGGTTGATATGATTTCAATCTTGGTGTATCTGTTGATGTTTGTCTTGTGCCCCAGTATGTGATCGATCCTGGAGAATGATCCGTGTGCGCTTGAGAAAAATGTGTACTCCTTTTTTTGGGGTTTAGTGTTCTATAGATGTCTGTTAAGCCCAATTGCTCTAGGTCCTTAGTTAGAGCTTTGGTTTCTTTACTTATTTTTTGTCTTGTTGATCTATCCATTGTTGATAGTGGTGTGTTGAAGTCTCCCACTACGTATGTGTTTTCTCTGATGTCTGTTTTCAGAGAGGACAACAGTTGTCTGATATATTTTGGTGCTCCTTCGTTTGGTGAGTATATGTTAATGAGTGTTATTTCTTCTTGAAGTATTGTCCCCTTGATATAATGTAGTGACCATTGGGGTCTCTTTTTATCTTTTTGAGTTTGAAATCTGTTTTATCTGATATAAGTATAGCTGTTCCTGCTTTCTTTTTTGGTCCATTTGCTTGTAGGATTGTTTTCCATCCTTTGACTTTGAGCCTATTTTTATCTTTTGTAGCTAAATGTGTTTCCTGGAGACAGCAAAAGGTTGGGTTTTGTTTCTTAATCCAGGCTGCAACTCTGTGTCTTTTTATTGAAGAGTTTAGTCCATTTACATTTAGAGTTAATATTGATATGTTAGCATCTGTATTTGCCATTGTGTTTGTCTTTCCTTTGATTTTATTTATTTATTCTTTTAATAACTTTTTTTTTTTTTTTGGCCTTCTTTCATTGTTATTCGTCCCTCTGAGGTTCTGACTTTAGGACTCCTTGTAGTATTTTTTGGAGTGAGGGTTTAGTTGTAATGAAATTCCGGAGTTTCTGTTTGTCTGGGAAGGTCCATATTCTTTCTTCAAAGAGGAAGGAGAGCTTTGCGGGATAGAGAATTCTTGGTTGGCATCTGTTTTCTTGGAGTCTGTTGACTATGTCCCTCCACTCTCTCCTTGCCTGTAGTGTTTCTTCGGAGAAGTCTGACGTCAGCCTGATTGGCTTTCCTTTGAATGTTATCTGTTTCTTCCCTCTTGCCAGCTTCATTATTTTTTCCTTGTCCTGGATTCTTGGGAGCTTTACTATTATGTGTCTTGCTGTATTTTTCCTTTCGTCGTGGAAGTTTGGTGTTCTTCTTGCTTCTTGTATATCAATTTTCAGCTCCTTCTTCACATTTGGGAAGTTCTCTTCAATTATCTCTTTGAATATTTTCTCTGTTCCTACATCTCTCTCCTCTCCTTCTGGTATTCCTATAACTCTTATATTTCCTTTCCTCATGGAGTCAGATAGTTCCCGAAGTCTTTCTTCGTTCTTTTTCCTTCGTACTTCTCTTTCTTTTTCTGTTTTGGTTCTTTTTATTTCTGTGTCTTCAAGATTACTTATTCGTTCTTCCATTTCATCTATTCTGCTTTCATTGCTTTTCCCAGAATTCTTTAGTTCTTCCATTAATTCTTTGATCTCCTGCATTTCTTTTACTTCCCTCTTTAGGGACTCAATTTCATTCTTCTGACCATTGTTTTGCCTCTCTAGGGACTCAATTGCATTCTTCTGATCGTTGATTATTTTTCCCTTATCATTGTTTTCCTTTATGACTTCTGTCAGTTTTTTAATCACGGCAATTTTAAATTCTCTTTCTGGAAGGCTCAGAAGTTCTTCCAAGTTACTGTCGTTGCAATCTGGGGGCTGCTTTTCTTTTTGTGGTGTGCTTTTTCCCTGGGGAGTAGCTAGGTTGCGTGTGGTTCTTCTCCTCCCTACTGTCTGTTTTCTAATTTGCCGTATGCGTTGGGACACTGTGTAGTTGGGACTTGTCGGCATCTTGGGTGAGCTTCTCTGCTCTCCTCTGATTCCTCCAGGAGTTATCTGTCAGTTTCAAGCAGTCTTTACTGGAGAAAGGTCCCTGTTCTAAAATGCCGATGTGGGGACACACTCCCCTGTGCGCCTGGTCTGCCCCAGTGGTGGGTTCCTGTTCCCCCTCTGGGCTTGGACTGCAGGCCAGATGGGGTCTGGCGTGGGCGAACTTCCCCCGCTCACCTCTGGCTCCTGAGGAAGCCTTCTGCAGGTAGTCTTTACTGAAGAAATGTCCCTGTTCTAAGATGGTGATGTGGGACACACTCCCTGCACGTCCGGTCTCAGGCACACTCTTCTGCGCGCCTGGTCTGCCCCGGCTGTGGGTGCTCGCTCCCCCTGTGGGCTCAGACTACTGGTCGGAAGGGGCCCGGCGTGGTCTAACTCCCCAGCTGGCCACTGGCTCCTCTAGGCGCCTCTGCTGGCTTCAAGTTGCTAGGTGGCGCCAGAGATCTCTCCTGGAGCCCTTGGGGAGCTGATTTTCCACCCCGTGGGACAGGGAATAGAGCGGGAATGGTAGGGTAAACCTCAACGGCTTTGGGGTGCTGTGTCTGCCTTGTGCCCCACCGTCGTGGGGAACCCACGCCCCTAATTTCGTGTCCCGGGTGTCAGTTCCAAAGCCCTCAGTTCCAGGACTCAGGCTGTAGCCCAGTTCAGTGGCGCGGGAATGGCGCCTTTTGAATCCCGCTCCCGTGCCTGGGCGCCTGATTCCTGCTCACTCAGTGAGGGCCTCTGCGCGTCTCCCCGCAAGCCTAGGTCGCAGGCGCAGGGACCTGGGCAGCTGCGATCTGGATCCGCGTTTGCTTTTCAAGTGCACTGCTTTTCCGCGCGCAATCCCGATTCCGATCCGCACTTGGTTTTCCAGTGCGCCGCTTTTCCGCGCAATCCTGACCGCGCTCCGCGCCTGCTTTTCCAGCGCGCCGCCTTTCCGCAGGCTTACAGGGCAGCCCGGGGCTGTGTGCTGGTGCTGGTCTCCTCCCCGGGGGCGGGGTCTCTCTTCAATGGCGCCCGGAGCTGTTCGCTCACCGCCGCGGAGAATCCTGCAGGGTTCGCCTCAGCTCCCGTTCACGGGGTGTGGTGGCTGCAATAGTTCCTTTCCACTCACAGTCCCGCTTGCTGCATCGTTTGTTCTTGTTGGCCGTTTTAGTTTGTTGTTTTCCTCCTCTCTGCCGGTCGGAGAGTGCCGCCTCTGTGGGCGGGGGAGGGGAGCAGGGTTCTGCGCTTCCCTCCCTTCTGGTCCTCTTTTATGGCCACTTTCTTCTTCGGGCAGTTTGCTGGTGTCACCCGTTTATCTTCCGTGTCCCGGTTCTCACTGGGACCTGCCGCTTTTCCTCCCTATTAACTTTTTTTTAATGGGAGATCTTACTCGCAGCGTCTCCTCGCCGCCATGTTGCTCCGCCCCCATCCCGAGATGGTGACTTCTAAGTAATATTGGATGCTCAAGCACTCAGCTTTCTTGGAATACAGTTTTCTCATTTCTCAATTCTCATCTGGACAAATGTAGAATAGGTAATGTAGACAGTTTGGTGTGGCTCAAGGGTGTGATTTAAAAGTCTTTCAAGAAAATACCCTTGGCTTTATACTTTATTCCCCTATCTGTGTGATGTAGAAAAGATCAAGTGTAATTGATTTTTAAGAATAATAACCATATGTTTATAAAAGACTTTGCATTCCCTAAAGTACTTTTATGCCCCTTATTATATTTTGAACTTGTAATAATCCCCCAAAGTGGTAAATCTTATTACTTCCACTTACTGATGAGAAAATGAAGACTCACTCAGAAGTGGCCATATGGCTGATCACAGGTTGAAGCTGATCAGGTCTGATTCCAAGTGTTGCTTGTTTTCTGCTCTACAACCTCATGGCCTGACAGGAAGAAAGAACGTAAAGGAAAACCTCACTTACTTACCAGTCTTGCCTGCAGCATCATAGAAAAGAAGTAGCTGGTCCAAAAGGATTCTAAGACTTAGGACTGGAATTGATTAGACTGAAAGATCAAGAAGTGGGTAGGGAAAGGAAGGAACTTAATTTTCAGAAATGACACATCCTGTTGGTAGGAAAAGTCTCCATAAAAAAACTCTATTTAAAATGGAATCTGAAGGGGCCTCACAAGTTAGGCACTGCACTATGAAGCAATCTGCAGCCTCTGCAGCACGAGTTCGATCCCCGGCTGGCCAGGGAGCAACCCACATGGCGAGGAAGACCTCTCCTGTCTCGCCCGCTGCTCCCCTCAATAGTGTACTTCAGTCGATCCGCCTGTTCTGTTCCCCACTGTCTCTGGTGAATCTGCTCACCTCCCCCCCCCCCACATCTCTGGTCTGCACCCAGGCTCTTGTATGCATAAATAAATAAATCTTTAAAAAAAATGAAATCTGAAAAGAGCTTCCTGATTAGGGTTAGATACTTCCCTTTGTCACCAGATCTTAATTCCCTAGATAGTGTGCTTAACAGGAAGGGGGTTCACTGGGCTTCTCTCCCAGGCCTAGTACATCTTTCATTGAAAAGTGTTTAAGTCATGTCTTTGTTTGTGAGGAGAAATCTTCTGGTTTTTATCTGTGATATCATGCAATTTTGTAGCATTGGCTTCTCTAATACCATCTTCCATGTTTCTACTAGTCATACCATCTCATCAAGTTGATGTGTAGCTTCAATGTGTTAGAAGTTTCTGGAAGCCCCTGGAAAGGAGAGGGAAACTTTTGAGCACCATCACTTTATTTTTTTATTAATATAAATTTTTTTTAATTTTTATATTCCCCATAGAATTGCGACCCCCTTATTTTGACCCCAATCCCTCCCCTCCCTGCCCTCCACCCCCCATAGAGTGTCTCTGGTTCATAGTTGTTTGTTGATTTTGATTTTTACTTTCTTATAGTTATTCTTTTTCCTGGTCCCTTATTTAAGTTTTCTAGATTCCTGCTATGAGTGAGACCATCCGGTATTTTTCTTTTTCTTTATGGCTTATTTTGCTGAGCATGATCCCTTCCAGCGCCATCCATGTTGCTGCAAATTGCATGTGTTTATCTGTTTTGAATGCTGAGTAATATTCCATGGTGTATATGTACCACATCTTCTTGATCCAGTCATCTATTTTTGGGCATTTGGGTTGTTTCCAAAGCTTAGCTATTGTAAATAGTGCTGCTATAAACATAGGGGTGCAGGTGTTCTTTGGAATTGATGTTTCTGTGTCCTTTGGGTAAATACCTAGGAGTGGAATTGCTGGATCATATGGAAGCTCTATGTTTAGTAGGTCCAGAAATCTCCACACAGCTCTCCATAGTGGTTGGACCAGTTTGCACTCCCACCAACAGTGCAGGAGAGTTCCTTTTTCTCCACAACCTTGCCAACATTTGTTGTTGCTATTTTTTTAATATGTGCCATTCTCACTGGGAGCACCATCACTCTATATGAAAGCAGTCACCTAGCACTTCCACTATTTTCTTCACATGATATTTTCCCTACTTTGTGTAGAGAATAGGTTATCAAACAATGTGCTTTTTGTATCTTTAACAGAATTATCATGTTTTAAAAGAAAAATAATGAAGAAACACACTAAATAAAACTGATAAATGACAGCGGTGACAGCATCAGTAAATTGGCATTCATGATTACATATTAGTTTTTTTTTAAAGATTTATTTATTTATGCATACAAGAGCTGGGGTACAGGCCAGAGATGCAGTGGGGTGGTGGGGGGAAGAGCGAGAGGATTCACCAGAGACAGAGCGGGGAACAGAACAGGCAGACTGACTGAAATACACTGCTGAGGGGAGAGGTCCGCTTCTCCATGTGGGTTGCTCCCTGGCCGGCCGGGGATTGAACTCGTGCTGCAGAGGCTGTGGATTGCCTCATAATGTGGTGCTTAACCCCTTGCGCCACCAGGGAGGCCCCATATTACTTTTTTATGGCATTAATTCCATAGAACTTCCTGAGAAATTATAATTCCAAGATATAATAATCAAAGTTTCAATATTTTAGCTATGCCATTAATTAAATCTGTCATGTGACCATTAGTTCACTTCTGTGTTTACCAAATTGAGGCTAATAAAGAAGCAACTGTGATACGTGTAGCTTTTCTTCCCCCAAAGACCATAATAAGAAATAAAAGCATAGGAAGTGCCCTAATTGTTAGAGGTTCCTGGAAACAGAGACTGTATTTTCACCAAATGCTGACTTTCAGATAACATTCCTGAATATTGGACTGATATGAATCAACAGCTGTCCTGTGTGGTCCTGCTACAGCCTGGACAACTGAAATATAATTCTGTGAAGGACAGGTTTTGTCTCTCCTACAAAATAGAAAAGGTAACGTGCAAAAAAAATTACTTTTTTTTAAATATTAAAGATCTAATATAAAAACCTTTTTTTCAACACTCTTCTTTCCTTTATATCATAACATATTTATTTGAATTAACACTCAATCAAATTCCAAAGATTTCAAATGTCATGGTTTATTCATTAGCAGTAATTAAGGAGATTCCCAAAAGTCACATGTGTTTGTTTGGATACTTTTATAATTCACAAACCCACTCAACCTGGTTGGCCAAGAAGAAATATGTTGGAAATGAGTGGAAAGTTCAGAAGTAAGATGGTCTTTGGAGCACTTCCATCAGTGGCTCTGTGATGTTATGTAGTCAGTTTCTCTGACTTGACTGTTTGCAGTATCAGCTTTTCTGAAGCTGGTCTCCTTTTATAGGATGACTAATATAAAAACTAATATAAATTGGTGGCAATTCAGGGATCTCTCTTCTTTAATTCACATCTCATAGAAGAAAAATTGCCCAATCCTGGGCTTTGTGTTGAGTGGCTCACTCCCCCAGTCAACTGTGTCTGGGGAGTGTGGATGCTGATTGGTTTGAACCTGAGATATTGATCACATCACAATATTATCTTGATTGGTTAACCCAGAGGCTCCACCTTAGAACTCTAAGTGGGGCTAACTCCATCCAATGTTGCATAATAAGAAAGTTCAAAGTTCAAAGATTCCTACCATGTCCACTATAATGCATAATAATATTAGCCTGTATAGTTTAGGCATGTATTGTGACACGATATGCTGAACCAAACCAGGAACCATGGCCGATGTAACAAAGAATCAAAACACCACATACATAGGCCAGTTCTTGGTAGCAAAGCCACAAGGGTTAAAGAAACAGGTTAACTCCTCCTGGCAGCCAACAGGCATGAGATTTATGCAAGGACAGATAAGAAGCTCCAGTGCAAGGGCCTCCCCTGGTGGCACAGGAGGCTGAGCACAGCGCTGTGAAGCTGCCTGCAGCCTCTGCAGCACTGGATTGATTCCAACTGGCAGGCGAGGGTCCCACATGGCACAACAGACCTCTCCTGTCTCGCCCGCTGCTCCCCTCAGCAGTGTATTTTCATCAGTCTCCCTGTTCTTTTCCCCACTCTGTCTCTGGTGAATCCTCTCACCCTCCTGCACATCTGGCCTGTACCCTTGTTCTTATATGAATAAATAAATAAATATTAAAAATAAAAAAAAAAGAAACTCCAGTGCACACAGGATGGGGTCCCAAATGGATTGCTGTTGGTGAAAACGCCTTGGGTTTTTTATAATTATGCTCATATTTTGGGTCTAGGGGATGAGCTGTGGTGATTGTGCAGGTTTTTTTATTGGTCATCGCTGGCTGATGTCCTAACATGGGGACATCATGTTAGGACAATCTAAATAAACTGGTAATTCTTGTTATTGACTTTCCTCTTGTTATGTCTCCCAGGGTCCCAGTCCTTATCCCTCCTGTTCTGTCTCCCAGCCCCTATATTTTTGTCAAGGTCTAACCCCTCAGTATCACCAGTCATTCTCACACCATGCATATCAGAGCAAGGTATGGCATCCTAGTAATCCTAGTAATTTAAAATCTAGTTGCTGATTCCATAAAACTGTACCTAACTACACCCTAGAACTTATGAAAATGTGCTTTCATAACCTTTAATATGCCTAACTTCTCTATTAGATGGTGGATTTCTTAAGGTAAGGATTACATCTTTATCATTTCTCCATCCCCAATACCCAACATAGTGTGTAGCATGGAGTAGGGGACAATACCTATTGAATAAACTTAATTGAATGAATGGACTTACTTTCTGAGAAAAAATGAGAGACTCCTGCAGAAAGGACAGAATTTAAAGTAGTTGCTTCATGATGGTAAAAGCTGTTAAGAGTACACTTCACTTCAATTGTGTTTAGTCAATATCATCAACTTTCTTAGCTCTTGTTCTTCTGTCACACCCCAACTTTGGGTTAATTCCATAGCTTACCTTTTCTCTGCTGCTCCCAGATAAAATTATTAATTCATGGTCCCTAACCTTATCTGGGACCCCCCCAGGTGCCTGGAAACCTTTATGGCTTCCTTCAGTCAATTTCCTCATACATTCCCTAGGCCAAACCTTCACTCTTTCCCTATGGCCTCTCTCTCTCTCAGCAAAATAATTTTCTTCCTACTTTTATTGGCCTATCCACAACATTTGCTGCTGGTATCCAGTCTATTCTCCTTGAACCTCTCTTCTTTGTTTCCAGAAAATCACTTCTCTCATGTTCCTCTTCCCTAAACATAGATTATCTGAATCCCCCTTATTATGCTTTCATGTCTTATGTATATTCTCCTAATCCATCCCTTATCACTCTGAGAGATAATGATTTGTTTTCTTATCTTGCTCTCCCATTAGACTGAAACCTTTAGACTGAAAATTTCTGAGGACAGAGACCAGTACTTGCTTCAAAGTAGATGTTCAAGAGATGATTATTGAATATATGTTAAATCATCTGTCTTGATGACTCTAAAAAAAACTAAAGAAGGACAAATTTTCAAGGAGGGGATAATTCATCGTTTGAAGTGCTATTGAGGATCTAGAATGAAATAGTCATTAGATTGGGTAATTATGAAAAGATTTGTGATCTTAATTGGAGCCATGCAGACAGAATGGCTATTGAAAAAAAGCCACATAGGGCCTCCCCGGTGGTGCAGCAGTAGAGAGCTGGGCTGCGAAGCTGCCCGCAGCCTCTGCAGCGTTGGTTCTATCCCCGGCCACCGCGCGAGGGTCCCCCATGGCGTGCAGACCTCTCCTGCCGCCCGCTGCTTCCCTCAGCAGTGTACTTCGTCAGTCTGCCTGTTCTGTTCCCTGCTATGGCTCTGGTGAATTCTCTCACCATCCCGCGCTTCTTACTGTACCCAGTGCTTGTATAAATAAATAAGTAAATCTTAAAAAAAAAAAAAAGAAAAGAAACCACGTGGAATGAGTTTGGTGATCAGAAGTCAGTAAGAAAATAGTTATTAAATGATTACAAATTTTTTTAGTAAGTATTTGAGTGTCAGTGAATCTCTCCAGGACTTCTGGGAAATATATATAGATATATCTATATTATATAAATTACAAGCCATATTATATAAAATAGATAATAATAAACTACTACAAGTTATGGATACTTTTAGCGTATTCTTTTTCTAAAAGCAGGAAACACACTGAATTTACTGTTTATTTGCATTCTTTTTTTTATTTCTCCTCCCACCTCCTCTTCCTCATTTCCTTTTTGCTTATTTAAAAATTTACAGGGCATCTCTGGTGGCACAAGGGGTTAAGACACAACCTATGAGCATCTTAACTGCAGTATGAGTCCGATCCCCAGCCAGGGAGCTACCTACACACATGGCGCAGCAGACCTCTCCTGACTCGCCCGCGGCTCCCTTCAGCAGTGTATTTCAGTCAATCTGCCAGTTCTGTTCCCCACTCTGTCTCTGGTGAATCCTCTCACCACCACCCCCCCCACACCTCTGGCCTGTACCCCAGCTCTTGTATGAATAAATAAATATTTTTAAAAAATAAAATAAAAATTTACAACAAGCAGTATATTGAGCTCTTAGGTTATTTCCAAAATGTTTTTGTGTTTTGTCACTTATAGATTGAGAGGATACAGAATCTGCTACTCTGGCACAGCTAACAGCTAAAGAAAATGCACATGGATAATAAGAATGGCCATGCAGAGAATGAGAGATTTCTCTTCCATGGGACAGATGGAAAATTGGTACCACATATCAATCAGATGGCTTCAATCGCAGTAACACTGGGAATAATGGTAAGGAAACAGCAATCTGGCTGATCAGAAGGAGGGGACTGGTACTTCTAGTGTTGCTTGTCCATAACCAAGCAGGTAGAACACAGCGGGCAGGTACATTGTCATCATCAAGATAGAGCTCACTGTGTTTTTCCCAAAAAGATACTGACAATCTTCTGAGGACAGGTGGAGTGGGTTTTAGAAATAATGAAAAGTGGTCTTCGTGGGCAAGAACTGCTTTAAAAAAAATTGTCAGGTTTGGGCATGGTTCTAGATTCTGTGACAATTTTATGTTCTTAGGAATATTCTTGTTTTTCACTTTACAGGTACATCTTATGGAAAAGGAACCTATTTTTCTGTTGATGCCATTTATTCTGCTAATGATGAATATTCCAGACCAGACAGCAATGGGAGAAAGCATATCTATGTTGCGCGGGTGCTTACAGGCGCCTTCACACTTGGACATGAAGGATTAATTATCCCTCCATCAAAGAACCCTCTCAGTCCCACAGATCTGTTTGATTCTGTCACAGATAATACACAGCATCCAAATTTATTTGTGATATTCTCTGATAATCAAGCTTACCCAGAATATCTCATAACTTTCAGATGTTAAAAAATAGGCCCTTTTTAATCTCAAAGAGATGATTTAGTCATTTATAAGAACAATTAATAGGGTTTTTGTCTTTGCCCTTGTCTTATTTGTATAGACCAAAATCCCCATTAGGTGCTGAAAAGGAGCCTTTTATTTTTTTTTATTTTTTTTATTTTTTTTAATAAATTTTATTGTTATATTCCCCATACAATTGCAGCCCCCCCATTCTGACCCCAATCCCTCCCCTCCCACCCCCGCCCCCCTAAAAGTGTCTCTGGTTCATAGTTTTTTGTTGATTTTGATTTTCACTTTCTTATAGTTATTCATTTTCCTGGTCCCTTATTTAAGTTTTCTAGATTCCTGCTATGAGTGAGACCATCCGGTATTTTTCTTTTTCTTTTTGGCTTATTTCGCTGAGCATGATCTCTTCCAGCGCCATCCATGTTGCTGCAAATTGCATGTGTTTATCTTTTTTGAATGCTGAGTAATATTCCATGGTATATATGTACCACATCTTCTTGATCCAGTCATCTATTTTTGGGCATTTGGGTTGTTTCCAAAGCTTAGCTATTGTAAACAGTGCTGCTATAAACATAGGGGTGCAGGTGTTCTTTGGAATTGATGTTTCTGTGTCCTTTGGGTAAATACCTAGGAGTGGAATTGCTGGATCATATGGAAGCTCTATGTTTAGTAGGTCCAGAAATCTCCATACAGCTTTCCACAGTGGTTGGACCAGTTTGCACTCCCACCAACAGTGCAGAAGAGTTCCTTTTTCTCCACACCCTCGCCAACATTTGTTGTTGCTAGTTTTTTTAATATGTGCCATTCTCACTGGTGTAAGATGGTATCTCATGGTAGTTTTGATTTGCATTTCCCTGATGACAAGTGATGTTGAACATTTTTTCATATGCCTGTTGGCCATTTGCATTTCCTCTTCAGAGAAGTTTCTTTTAAGCTCTTCTGCCCATTTTTTGACTGGATTATTTTCTTTGTTGTTGTTGAGTCTCATCAGCTCTTTGCAGATTTTTGTGATCAGTCCTTGAAAAGGAGCCTTTTAAAAATGCTCCACAGTTGTGGTTATCTGCACACCTTTCTCCTAAGCGTATTGATGGGTAGAAGCTGAGAAAGGTAAATGACACAATTATAGCTGCAGCTCTCCACAGATACCAAATCTATCACAGAATAAAGAGCAAATTACTTTTTTATTGGAAAAGAAATAATATAAATCACTTTAAAGCCAAGATATTGTTGTTCTTATTGGAACATATTAAGACAGCAAACTGTTTAACTAAACCATGCTATTAAATAAACAGGTTGCTATTATGCATCTGTAACACCTGAGGATTTTTGTCTTCTTAAGAAACTCTTGTTAGCAATAGCTCAATTAGAATGACTGAATCAAAGAATTTTACCTCAAATATGCTATAAGACAAATCAGGTAAAATTGTTAGGTATTTAATGCTACATAACAAATTGCTATAAAATTTAGTGATTTGTGGGTAGGGAACTCAGGCATGGCTACATTGGGTTGTTTTGACTTAGGGACTCTCGTGAAGTTGGCACTCAAAATGTTGGTAGGGGACACAATCATCTGATGGCCAGACTGGAGCTAAAGGATCTGCTTCTAAGGTGAATCACTCAAAGAGCTAGCAAGTTGTTGCTGGTTGTAGGCAGGAGTTCTCAGCTGCTTGCCATAAGCTGCTTGAGAATCCTCATGATGTGACGGCTGGCTTGCTTCACAGTAAGCAATTCAGAAGAAAGCAGAAGCCACTAATGCCTTATTTTTTTAATATCTGTAAAGGCCGGACTGGCCACAGTGCAGGTTTTCTGATCCCATGCAGACCTGGTAAAGGAGGAGTCAGAGTCCTCAGTAGTTTTGCAGGTTTTTTATTTGGGGTTCACCAGGCATATGGCAGGCAGGGGTGCTGGCTGGCAAGCCTCCCAGCCCCCAGCAAGTCTTCACTCTATCTGGGCTCTCTAGCGTTCGTTCTGCTGCTTCTCGGCTTCTGCTTCGGCTTCTCCTTCGGCTTCTGGGGCTGCTGCTGCTTCTACTGCTGCTCCTGCTGCTGCTGCTCCTGCTGCTGCTACTGGTGTTGCTGGTGTTGCTGCTGCTGCTGCTGCTGCTGCTGCTGCTGCTGCTGCTGCTGCTGCTGCTGCTGCTGCTGCTGCTGCTGCTGCTGCTGCTGGCGTCCCCCCGTGACGCCGCCCTTAAAAAGCACAGTCTTAGCTCAGCTGAATCCCATCTACCTATGCCCACACCCTATTCCAGGTGCCCGCCATCAGGCATGCATTCAGGACAAGGATCCATCATCTATCCTGATGGCGGAAGGGCAGAAAAGCCTGATATTTTCTTTACCCTACAATATCCAAAAAAATTAAGTTTTTTTTTTTAGAAGAAAGGAAGAAGATACTTGCACAGGATCAAGTAGGCATGAGAGCTCACCATTCCTTTTGTAAGCTAGCTTCTGATGATATTCCATTTTTTCCACAATGTCCTATTGGTTCCATTGGTTATTTCATTCAATGCGGGAGGGATACCAGTAGGCAGCAGTCATGAGGATTCATCTTGGAGACAGTATGAATGGTAAATTGATAAAATAGTAGCAGTGTGTAGGGTAAGGAAAAATGTCAGGCTTTTCTGCCCTCCCATCATCAGGATAGATGAGGGAACCCTGTGATCCTGAATGCATGCCTGATGGCGGGCACCTGGAGTGGGTACACCTGGGCTAAGACTGTGCTTTTAAGGGCGGCGTCACGGGGACGCCAGGAGAAGCCGAAGCAGAAGCTGAAAGAGAAGCCAAGAAGCTGAGAAGAGCAGAAGAGGCCGAGAGAGAGAAGCAGAGAAGGCCGGAGAGCCCAGATAGAGTGGGGACTTGCTGGGGGCTGGGAGGACTGCCAGCCTCCCAGCCCCCCAACACCCCTGCCTGCCGTGTACCTGGTGATCCCAATAAAAGACCTGCAAAAAACCACTGAGGACTCTGACTCCTCCTTTACCCGGTCAGCATGGGATCAGAAAACCTGCTCTGTGTCCTGTCCTGCCATTACACAGTGAAAGGAATGCTAGAGGTCATCTAGTCCCAGAGTTTCCTCTTCTTTCTTCCCACACCTTCTTCCACTCCTAAGGCAAAAAATTCTCTGGCCTCTGGCTGACTAGTTCCAGCACTCTGTATCTTGAGAAAACCTATTACATTGTGGAACAGCTCTAGTTACTGAAAACTCCCAGTTATGCTGAGCTGAAATGTGTTCTTCTCTATTGTTGTTTGTCTGTCTCTGTCTATCTATCTATCATCTATCTATCATCTCTCTGTCATATTCAGAAGTTCATTTATCCCAAAGCATCACTTCATAAGAACTGCAGATGTCTAAGAGTATTTTATACTGTCACAAAAAAAGGTCTATGCTTATTTAAATTGTACAGGAAAGTATAGAGGAAACAACCCTCTTTCACCAATCTATATCACCCATACTTGCATTACTCAAAGGAAACCAATGCCAGTGCCCTCATGTACCTCATTCTAGTTTATTCTCCATTTGTCTTCAAAATCATACTTTTATCTGATCACAAATCTTTACCATTTTCAATTAACATTATAAGTATATTTCCTTTGTGTTATTAATTTTTTCTCTAGCATAAGTTTAATGGCTAAATTATTCTGCTATATATTTTCTTTTTTGTGTACTTATAAAGTACATAAAATGTACTTATGTCATCACTTTTCCTATGGTTTAATAATCCAAATTTTCTTTTGCAATATATCTGTATAATTTCTACTATGTCATTAAATATCTTATACAACACTGTGATGTTTGTACTTCATTGTGACTTTCTATATATGTATCATGTTAAACAGGGTGTATATATTTCTAAGTAAATACATGGTTGATACATGAAATTCAGGGTCTCCCTGGTGGCACAAGGGTTAAGACACAGCACTATGAAGCTATCCACAGCCACTGCAATAGAAGTTCAATCCCTAGCCAGGGAGGTGACCCACATGGCACAGCAGACCTCTTCTGTCTCGTCTGCTGCTCCCCTCAGCAGTGTCTTTCATTATATCGCCTGTTTTTCTCCCCACTCTGTCTCTGGTGAATCCTCTCACCCCCCACCCCCACACCTCTGACCTGTACCCCAGTTCTTGTAAGATAAATAAATAAATCTTTTTAAAAAAAGAAATATGAAATGCAAAGACCATATTCTATCTTCAATGAGACACCACTCTCTGAAGTTATAGAAAACAAAACAAGATAAATAATGCTGTTACTGGGCCTCCCTGGTGGCGCAGCGGTTGAGCGCGGGGTTGCCAAGCTGCCCGCAGCCTTGCAGCGCCGGTTCGATCCCCGGCTGCTCCCCGGCCACCAGAGGAGGGTCCCACATGGCGCGCAGACCTCTCCTGCCGCCCGCTGCTCCCCTCAGCAGTGTACTTCGGTCCTTCTGCCTGCTCTGCTCCCCGCTCTGGCTCTGGTGGATTCTCTCACCCTCCCGCGCTTCTGACTGTACCCAGTGCTTGTATAAATAAATAAATAAATCTTTAAAAAAAAAAAAATAATGCTGTTACTACCTGGCCCTTAGCGTCCAACCCCAGTGTAGAATTCTAGTGAGCTTAGTTGGAACATGGTAGGCTCTTACTTGCAATATAAACTGTTCACTTCTGTCTCTGATGGTGTTACTCAAAGACTCCCCAATTTATTTTGCTGCATTCCTTTAGTAATAAGACACAGAAGTCTTGAGAATAATATACTTAATGTTATTAAAGCTGTCAAGGTTTATTAAGTAGAAAAATGTCTATCTATCAATAATTATAGCTATTATACATTCTACCACCCACTAATCTGAAGGTAAATCATGTCTTTCCACCTTTAAAGTCCATCTCTTTCCCATTTGACTGGGTGTTCGCTATCCACATGGTAAGACTGATCTCTACTTCTCCTCTAAGAACACACTATTTCAAGTTAATCAGGATTAGAAGTCATTCTCAAACTTTGTTAACTACCAATGAAATGGGTTTTTTCTCTATAGATTTCCACAGCTCAGGCTGGTGGCAACTGATTGTTCTGAGACCAGAGACCATGCGCTTCAATTCCAGACTGGGG